CATTCGCCCTAGTCACATCACTGTCACACCGCGTCTCGCGCCAAATCACTTTTCTTCAGTCGACTACCGTGGACACTGTGCTGGCTCGTAGACTCACTTTCACGTCTAGCTTCAAACATGAGAAGTGCTCTATCAAGTAAGCTCTTGTGCGTGTTCAACCCAGATTGTCCATTGGGTAACTTTTTTTACACTATTTATTTAACTATCAGCAATTTCCCAAAAATTCACTGAACACGCACTAGTAATGATCTTTTTGTGCAAATCTGTGACTTAAATCTGCTTGAAAAGGCAATAGCGGGGGCACAACGTTGTCCGACAGCAGTTGGTCACTGCCAAATCGCGTTTAAGCCTGAGCCAAACATGTACAAATAGTACGCATTCAGACGCGGCGTTGCCCACCCCCATACTTATTCGGCGCTGCGTGGCATGCCAGGTCCGATTCCCCCGGGACCTGTTTAAGTATCTCGAAGCTTCCAATTTAGCATTTGATTATGATGCACGCACTTTCTTGCCTACGGGCGTTCCGCGGCCGATCTTGATTCTGGCCTGAGAGTATATTAACTATAATGCATGCAAGGTTTGCGGATTCTCTCTGTGTCCTCGGGTGGCGTACCAGAAACACGTACAGTTCCGATTTAACTCCCCCTTTATGCGTGAGGGAGAATATACCATAGATGGAGCTAGCCCTTATTCCCCGATCATTCATGCGATACACACTCACCGAAAAGGAACCGGAATAGGGATCGTTCCGTACTTGCCGCCATGTGCAACAGACCAGGAGTCCTACAACTCTTCTATTTGGTCCCAGCTTTGCCCCACGTCTGGCAAAGCTTCTGATGAGATGAACGATACATCTCTGGTGTACTACTGACTGCGCTCCGACATGGGCGGAACCGAGACCAACTGATTACTCAGTCCTATACAGACAAACCGTCCTCCTTGTTTCCCAAATCTAGGCCACGATCACCTTTTCCAGAGCCATGCTCGATAAACCTTGTCATGTGTATTTCGACTGGTGCTGTCCTAGGCAATGTCGTGACGTGTGCTCGTTCACGAGGTGTGCTCGGAAATTGTCTCGAACTAGGAGAACCCTTGAGTGAAGGATGGCCGCCGGCTCGATGACCAATCCTGGACAGCACCAGACTGAAGACCACAACTATAACTGAAGATATCTGCACAACGAAGTAAGTTTCACTTGTAAAAGAAAAGAAAAATGGGATGTGTACATACCGTGTTGAGTACCAAAACCTGCAGGTTCAAGCGCGAGGCGAAGAAAATGAATGTGATGATGCAAGTGCAGCAATATATTCCTCCTGACTCCACCACTACTGTGATGACTGGCGCGAGGTCATCTCGAGCAGCATAATGGAGCATTCGACGCTCAGATCGAGCGAGGGGTATTGTGATAAGGCTGGTGGCGACCACATTCGTAGCAAGAGTGAAGGACCAGAATGACGTGATGAACCCGTCGACCTCAGACTGAAAAATGCCACCAGATTGGTTATTCGCAACGCTTAGGCATCCTATGCAAGACACTACGTGGAATGAATAAGTCGTGATACTGTTGCTGTCTTATCAATGGAGATTTACCTATAGTGCCTATGCATAGCACGAACGGAACTAAGCCGGCCCAGAGGCGTCTACCCCAGACAACATAGCAACGGTACGACTACAGAGCTCAATGCATTCAGTGAAACCATACAATTTGAAGAAACATACCAATATGGAATCAGCGATAAACGTTTCAGTGCAGTACAAGCCGTCTTTTACGATGTAAGACCAGTTTGGAACATCCGAAAGGAATTCCATCCTTGCTACTCTTGTTGGTAAGGCTATAAATGCATGTTGAATGCGATATAGGTCGACAGCCAGATGTAATGTAGCCAGCACCGGCAGGAGAAAAGCAGCGAGGAGAAAAACATATGATGTGTGAGTCCTATCCCGTTGCTTGAGAGTACGGATTGCATCCAGTGCCAAAGCACAAGAATAGCCGTATATCAGTGCCTCAAAGATGGTTCCAAACAGCTCGGCAGCGTCAATTGCCATATCGTGGGCCATGAGTCTTTGGAGATAACAGTCCGGATAATGTGGTAGTACTTGGAAAGGTGCTGCTTCGCCTGGCCCTTGCAAGACAACCCTCGCCATATATATCTTCCATAACTCATCACATCACCACAAGGTCCTGCTCGGGAAAAGCTCAGTTCGACTGGGAAGGACATCCAAACTGAGCAGGGACGCTACCTGGACTGTCTGACTTAAGGTGAATTTGGTCATCAGAACGATTGCAATGAACGTCGAGGAGACTGACTTAAGTTAGAGATAGCCTCTGAGAATCAGTTCCTGACTTCCGCATGCTTTAGAAGGGACGATGATGCAGGATCATGATGGGATTGAGAGAATGGCAAAGTTTCGGCCGGGGGAGCTCTGGATGCAGTGCATTCACTGCCTCCTAAAGATTCTAAGGGCTCCGGGTGACGATTCTCATGGCGTTTCTTCCTGGATGAGAAGCTACTGACGCACCAGATTGCTGGGAGACAAACCTCACAGGATCTAACTCGCGGCATCCTTCATATCAACCTTTTTCCTTCGGTCCTACTTCCCTGGCCAGTATACACATGCCATTTGGAAGTGCAAATGAACGCCACTAATGATGTCTGTGCAGGATTGATGGATCATACAAATGTCTGATCCCACCCGGAATCGCATACTAAATTGTCTTCACATAGTCTATGAATATACCAGCCCAGACAATCAAACCAAATTGACCATTTCGTTTGAAGGCGACTGTGCAATGATTGCTGTCATTCATACGTGCGAAGATAGTCGAAGGGTGACTTACTCCAGCAGCTGTTCGGGACCGCCAAGTTGAGCGTGCAGAGTTGCCACATTAGGTGCAGCCCGCCCCCGCCAACACTAACCAAGAAATACGGGAGCCTCTGGTTGTTTACCCGGCCCACTAAAGTAAGCAAGCCTACCAGCCCGAGAGTGAGCATAGTGAGGGCCAGTCGGATTCTAGAACCGAAGAGTCGAGCAGTCGACCGGATACCCATTTTTATGTCGTCCCGGATGTCCTGACAGGCGTAGATGGTATCTATACCCGGTAGACATCAGTAAGTATCGATACAGACAATACCGAAACGGACCATAGTACACGGTCCAACTGCAGATCTTGTGAGACACAACGTTAACGGAGCTATACGATGAACGCACCACCATGCTGCCGCCAACATGAAACTCAGTAGATTTCGGTTGGCAGCTGGAAGTACTTGGACGTAGGCAACCACAATGCCGAAGTTCATAGCAAAGCCAAGCCATGCTTGCGGCCAATATGTAACACGCTTGAGGATCGGATAGATAATAAATCTGGGATTTAGAAGAGGGGTTATGCCCATGCATGAGCTTTTGGAGAGATCGCGTACAATGGGAATAGCTGGATAAGAGCGGCTCGAAATCTGGGTTGAGACCTGTCAGGTTCTAATGGGAGGTAAACCAAAGCAAACTCATACATACGCCAGAGGGCTGAGTGTCGAGAAATATAACACGCCGATGATGTATTGCAACAGAAGGTACAAGCACGCGTTCACCACTGAAACTCTACCGCTGGGTAATGGTCTAGTCTTAGTGCGTTCTGGACAGAGCGTGAGCGAATCATGTTAAAACATATGTACACAACCGTGAGGGTGCCGGACTTACCAACTCCGGCATCAAGGTCGCGGTCGAAAATATCGTTCACGGTGCATGCCGAGCTCCGCATGATGAAGGCGGACAATAAGGACTTCATCAATAAGACTGCGTACTCTCCCAAGGGTATTTTAGTGGTGTATGCAGCGGCAGTCAGACCCCATGCTACCGGGCGCAGTAGATATCAGAGCACGGCGCGAGCCAGACACGCGTCACTCACCGAATGGCCAAAACATTAGTATGGACCCGGTCGGCTATGGCATTACATTACATTAGGAATACTCGTTGAGAAGCTGGCCAGTGCTCAACGGACCTTGTAGAATCTGATGAGCTCAAGGTATGGATTGCTCTTCGCGGACTCCATGGTTGACTAGTCGTTAACACGGCAATGGACGTTCCTCGAGATGGATGCAAGTACAGGGATTGAGTCAAGACATAACACCGAGGCACCTGATAACATAAATTGGATGCACCTCGAAAGTACGAGTCACGCGCATAGTTTTCATCCTATATGTCCATTTCATAGAACTGTAGTTTCTCTTCTTCATCAGACTTGAATCAAAGAAATCCGGCAATACAGCACGCCGGGCGATCAGAAACCTCCAGGCGCCAAATGCACGGGCACAACCCTCTGTCCTCCGACCACAAGTTTTCAGGGTCGGGTCTTAGTGGACGGAGCCTGTTCAGTGTTAGGATCGCTTGCTAAGTTGGTGGACCCTGAGAAATGTCTCAAAAAAGCCCCACGAGACACTGCATCAGTATCAGTAGTTTCCGGAGGAACCTGCCACCTCAAATGACTTACCGCAGGGTTGATAACAACGCGCAGCCACAGTCGTCGGCGTATCTGCAGGTCAGCAATACGAAGAGTCGGTACGAGTCTAGCCGCCTTCGGAATCTGACCCGTGCTTCGATAGTTGCGATCGTTACGGCAAGTGAGCTTTCTCTTCACATATCTGCCAATATGACGGACAGTTTGAGGTGCCACCCACTGTGCGGATCATAAGCCGCCGTTTCCAGAGTCTGAACAGCCAGCAATGAGTACCACAGTCCTACTTACTTATCTTAGCCAGATGCTGAATTTCGTCACGGTTGCTGGCATAACACTGATCTGTGACTTATGGACTCGGATGACATACTGATGTATCCCTGATATCGCCTCCGAATTCATATCAAGCGATACGTGGCAAGAAACGGGACACGACTGGAAAAAATAGACTTAGAAAGCAAGTAGAGGACTTAAAGTAGCATTGTCCGAGGTTCGTCGCGTCACTGTGATCCTCGGGGTTCCCAGGGTGTCAGGCGCCAGCACTGTCCGATCCTCTCCGACAGCGGCCATCAGGCTGGCCCTGCATCGCGGCGAACAGGAGCCACCTTAACAATAATAGACAGCAATGGATCTCGCTCATAGACTGGTGCACACCCTGCGAATACTGATCCCGACGTTGTCATTCGAGCCTGTTTGTCTACATGTTTAGTATCCCTCAAACTCAGGGCCTGAATAGCAGGACTTTCCGCGTGGCCCCCTTCAACGAGGAGCGACTTACTTTGCCGCAGGTGTACGAATGGCATCTTCAAAACTCGCCAGAGCACCCAATCTTTGTGTACTATTGCCACGAGAATCACGTAGTCCGGACGATTCGCATGAAAGAGCTCGTCCACGGCATGTACCGCGCGGCTGCGTACATAGGTCCTTCAACCCGCTCAGAGGATACTGAACGTGCCCAGGTGGTAGGAATACTCGCTGCGTCAGGTATGTCTTCCACTGGAAACGCAGCACTACACTAAGACTGATGACACATGCACCATCCTTCTAATAGATTCGATAACCTTTTTCGCTACGTTGCTAGGCGTGATTCATGCCGGGCATGTTGCCTTTCCAATTTCACCCCGTAACTCTCCTGCAGCACTCGCTCACCTTCTCGTAGAGGCTCAAGTTACGGTCCTCCTCATTGGCCGAGAGAAACCGCTCAAAGGCCTTGCGGATGCAGGACTTTCTGAGCTCGCATCACAAAATCCTGATCGAGCGGCTACGCTGAAGACCGATGAAATGCCAGTTTTTGAGGACTTGTTTCCCCCTGAAGAGTTCGACGAACAAAAGCAGGTCTCGACGTCTCCTAGTAGAACGCCTATAATGGACGATCCTGCGATCATGATGCATTCCTCTGGTCAGTCGTCCGGCTATTGTTACACCTATACGTGCTGGATATAACCTTCCTCTAGGTTCCACAAGATATCCTAAACCTATACCTTGGTCTCATCGTGGTCTCCTCATGCTGGGTGCCGTCCCTTGTAAGTAACGGCAGGCGATATTCTACGGATGTACTACCATGGGAGGGTATTCTCTTCGAGGTGTATGGCAGAACTCATTATATTTCTTCCCAGTCTTTGGTCACGTCGATCTCACCGACATCATAATGGGATGTCACACTGTTCCGATGTTCCACAGCATGGGTATCTTCCAATTGACCATTGCGGTACATACTCTCTTTTGCTAACCACTGGGGACGCCAAGCTGATGTTTGGAACATTGCTAATTTATCCTCGTAGGGGACGACAGGGATCACCTTGGCACATTTTCAACCGTCATCGCCGGCTGTGCTTCCCACACCTACCAATGTCTTCAATGAGACGAAGCTGACGAGGGCCGACTTGGTCTGCAGCGTACCTGCTTTCATCGAAGTATGTGTCACACTGACGGGACTCCGTCGGAGCACTTATGCCTCGTATTCAGAAATGGTCTCAGGACATGGAATTGGTTGCTCACATGAAGACTATGAAGGGTGTTGTGCGTAGCTTCTATGCAGATTGGGGATAAGACCATAGGAACTGAATAGATGCTACTACCGCCAGATATACGGCGGTGGACCACTCAATCGCCAGGCTGGAGATTTGCTCGCATCTCATGGAGTGGCGGTGTACATGAACTACGGATGGTACGCTCTCGGTCTGTACTAGACCTACTTTGCCTGAGATTTCATTTACGTCTAGTACCGAAGGCGGCCCTATTAGCGCCTTCATCTCTGGTACGACAAATTTTGTTCTAGTGAAATATATCCGTTTAGAGTATTGTAATCACCAAGAACATCCCGGAACGAACTGGGAATATGTGATACCCTCACCACACCTGCGGACCGAATTTGTCCCCTTTGCCGGAACAACGTTCGAATTGGTCTTACTCGTGCGTGCATAGGTCTTACAGATATTGAGTCACCGATTCAATTTTACCCAGGAGCGCGATTCATATTGCCCGGCGGTCATCAATACGAAGATTGGGAATGCAAGAGGGTACGCTACAGGGGATCTGTTTGAGCCACACCCCTCCGTCCCGAATATGTGGAGGATCCACGGGAGAGCAGATGATCAAATCATGCTTTCCACTGGAGAGAAGGTGAGCCTTTAGCGAACAGGAATACTCGTGTGCCTCGTTGTTCATCGATATACATATAGACCAACCCTGGCCCTCTAGGTCAGTGAGCGAGGGCCGGGTAGATATCGCCCGAGACTAACATGCCAAACGGAATGCAGAGTCGATAATTTGTCAAGATCCCAACGTCCGTGCTGCTGTCATTTTCGGACGGGGAAGGACACAGAACGGCGTTATCATCGAACCCGCGAATGATACTGCCGTGGATTATACCGATGAAGCGGCTTTGTCTCACTTTCGCAATCTCATATGGTACATTATCTATCTCGGCTGGATGCCAGGATCCATGCTTACTGATTCGCCTGTTAGGCCTTCCATCGAAAGAGCAAATGAATTTGCCCCTCAGCACTCAAGAATATTCAAAGAGGCAAGTTTGAATCATAGATCATATCAACTTGTTCAGAAGCTCAAGTCCATGTAGATGATTTTAGTATCATCGTCAACCAAACCATTCACGTACACAGCAAAGAACACCCCCCGGCGCCAGGCTATCATTGCTTCTTATCAACAGGAAATCGATGCACTTTATGAAACAGTAGAAGTCACCACACAGCGCATGGTTTCCCCTCCGGAACATTGGGACTCTAATGAAGTTCTTGTTTTCGTTAGAAGAGCGGTGCTGAATAATCTAGACAAAGATCGCCGGATCAGAGACGACGAAGATCTATTTGATGTCGGCGGATCCGACAGGTAAGCATTGCTTCACTGAAGCGGACTCTCATAAAACCACGCTGATGTTCACTTTGTTTCTATCACAGCTTACGTGCAACGTGGATTCGAAACACAATCATTCATGCTGTGAGGAATGCAATGCCAGATGTTGCTAGGAGGTTCACTCCAGACCTGGTCTACCAGCATCCGACTATCAGTTCTCTTGCCACTGCTATCCTAGAAAGCATGACGCGCAGCGCGAAAGAGGTGGTCAACAAGGCCGAGAAAAGGATACGTGAGATTAAGGCCATGCTTGCAAAGTACAGCGGAGAGTTTCCTACACATGTAGCGAGCCCGGTAGGGAGCGCAACTCAACACCACGTCGTGCTGCTCACAGGGAGCACGGGAGGATTCGGATGTGAAATCCTCGACTGCCTTCTTCGTGACAAGTCGATTGCGCGGGTGTATGCCTTGAACCGTCTAGGGTTGTCTTCCCATTCAGTACGGCACAGGCAAGTCAATATTCTGACATTGCATGGGATACAAGATAGCATATTGTCGGACAAGCGTCTCGTTCTCATTCCTGCTGACTTGCACAAGGAACGGTTAGGTCTAGGCCTTGAGCTATACGCAGAGGTGCGTGAAAAGGAGCGTCGGTTCCTTGTGATATTTGATAAAGCGATATCCACAGATTCGAGACTCCGTCACCCATATCATTCACAATGGTCTGTGAAGTAACACACTGGGGTACAAGAGGTTGACTCTCTATCCCTCTAGCTTGGCGGGTAGACTTCAATCTCTCTCTCGCCTCCTTCGAAAGCAATATCCGTGGACTTCGCAATCTCATCGACCTTGCCCTTTCGTCTTCTGGTTGTTCGCCTTCGCGATTGATATTTGTTAGTTCCATCGGGCTTTTCGCAAGTATGACCTCAATTTACCTCGCTACTTGGGTACTCATACTATCCGCCAGACATCGATCCGCATGGGCCTATACCGGAGGGGCCTGCCGAGGATTGTCGTGTTGCTCTAGGAACCGGCTACAGCGAGTCCAAGTGGGTTGCAGAGCGGTTGCTATCGCTCGCCGCTGAACAAGCGTCCCTACCGGTAACGGTTGTACGCCTGGGTCAACTGACGGGTGCAAGGAATGGATACTGGAGCGAACGCGAGTGGTTTCCGGTCCTCATCAAGTCCGCTCTTAGCGTGAAATGCTTACCTATGCTTACTGGGGTGATTATCTATTGGCCATCCCCAGTGTCTTGTATTAATGCAATACTTGTAGACTGTATCATGGCTGCCGCCGGAAGTCTCCGCCGCAGCTCTGGTGGAATTGTGTAGCTCGGATCAATCATTCGCGCACCTGGTCAATCCTAAACACAGCCAGATTCTGCCTGTCATGGAGCGTGTATCGAAAAAGCTTAATGTGCCCCTAGTGCCCTACCAGGAATGGCTGTCACGAATCGTTGAATCATATCGCAGCACACCATTGCCGGAGGTCGACATCCTCAAACGTAATCCGGCTCTGCGACTTCTGGGATTCTTCAAGGCCGCCCGATCTGGCGAACATCTCGAGCCACTTGGTACTGTCAAACTCGACACTAGGAACACCGTAACGGCTGCACGAAGTCTGGATGAAGATACTAGAGAGTTGACAGAAGAGGATGTGGACAGGTGGATGCGGGGTTGGTTTGAGTCGGGATTCCTCCAGTGATTTGGCAGCAGACTCCCCGTCTATGACGGTCGGTGCGATTTTACGAAGCCTTAGAGTAGGAAAAAGTAACAATGATGCAAGAATTGTATTCGCCCTGAACATAGGATGTATAGGTGCGCGGGAGCGGGGTCCTTCTTCCTCATCCGGGACGATATCAGTGGCATGGGGCATGTCAGCTTTCTACTCATTCACCAGGCGAATTCTATTCCCCTACACCACTCTACGCTTCCGTCCGCGAAAACTACAGATGAGATAATCTCACATCACTGGTATCGTCCTGCCAGTGGTCGACTGGTCGAGTACTGTACCATGCTTAAAGTCAGAGTGGTATATTCAGGTTTCCGGCATGGCGATCCTCGAGCTCGCCGTAGAAGCTTACCGGGCGCTCGATATTCGGAACAGCTATGACACGAAATTGGTTTCCCTTCACCTATCTATGAACACGATGCAATGCAGTATTACTTGATGTGGTATGATAGCGGAGTATGCAGTGGGCGTAACTATCTAATGTTATGCAAGAACGTCCGATCTTCTGTCGACCCAACAATACTAAAGATGAAGACGACAGCGCGAGATGCTTTTACTTACTGGTACCCAGCACCAGCCCATTACCATACGTCAACGACCCGGAGGCAGCTTAGACCTCATTCGCCAGCGCAACGCGCATACTCGACAAGCCCCTCTTCAACCACTCCTCCGGTGCAACGCGCTCCTCCTGGTCCCACCGATGCGAAAGGGCAAAGACGAGGTTGTTCTGCGGGCTGAAGGCCCAGTGCGCGGGGTCGGGCGCGGGTGTCGCGGTGATGGCACGCAGCTCGTTGCGGATAATATTGTGCGTGAAATGGTCCATGTTGAGGTCATTCTTGTCGTAGCCAAAGGGATTCTCGATCTCTTCGCCGGCAACGAGGAAGCCGAAAAAGATGAAGCTCTATGTGAACCGGGTTAGTGAGGCTAATGGCAAACGGAGGGGCAGCACAAACCGCGATCGCAGTGCCGGGGATGGTAATCCATCCCAGGTAGGTGTAGATTTGGAAGGGCTGGGTGCAGATCAGTTGAAGCATTCATGTAGTTAGGTAAAGCGCTTACCAGGGCCAAACAGTAAATGACAGTTACTACCCAGAGGTGTATGGAATAACTGTTAAGCGCTATTAGCAGCCTGATCTTCGAACACAAATATGTCGGAAACTTACGAGAAAGGAATGGGAGTGGTAAGAATACGTTCCAGACCGGTGAGGGCATCCACGAGTTGGTTCAGGGTAGCGAGCAGCAAGCCTGAGTAAACGCTATTAAATAACTGCGATACCGGATGGCGCAGACCAACTTACTGGACGTTGGCGGGTCGATAGCCTTGCGCTGCTGGAGAGCAGCAATGTACGAGCTCTGCGTACAGAGCTCAGTCGCCGCGAACAAACCCGATATGAGATGGGGGACACACCAGGTAAAGAGAGATCTCCAGCGGCAAGTTGTGCGTATCGTTCCTCCTGAGTCGGGCCCTCAGCCTCGCAGCCTTTTTTCCCTTCACCTCCTGGCCGCGCTTAGTAAGCGCCTTCACGAGAAGCGAGAACGGGAATATGTCAAAGAGGTGGTACTTGGGCGGCATCCTTGCAGGAAGAAGGAAGTCCTCGCCCGTGCTGTGCGTCGTACCCTTTTCGACGTCGAACGCCTGCTGGGACCGAGGGGAGGTGGGGACCTGCAAGTTGACCTTCTTCTTGGGTGTGTCCTGCGGGAGGTGCGGTGCAGACGCCGAGAACGCCAGGCGCTGAGAGACGCCGTTACCCTCTTTAGCAGCCTCCGGGAGATTCGGGTGGGACATGGAAGACGAGAAGGGGCTCGTGGCGGAGAGTGTGTCCGAGACATCCTTGCCTTCTGGATATTCTCTTACGTCCGCGGTAGAGGGCAACCCGGCCGGGAGTGCATACGATGGCAGGAACTTCACCAGGTGATACAGGTCGACGTAGTAGATACCGTCTTCACCACGGAGATAGTGCTTTACGGCGATACTGAATGCCTCGAGCAAGTTGATCACAGTCTTCTTCTCGACGATGACTCTGCCCTTTTTCTCCTCCTCTGATAGGTGCTCGTCACCCGCACCGTAGGACATGGTGTCTGAAATTATACGATCGGCATTGCGTGTTGGATATTCACGCTTGTGTAGACGTACCTGGGACATGGAACCAAACTGTACGAGCAAAAGTCCGACTCGCGAGCACGATCTGTGACCAATACCGCCTTCCCTCATTATAACGCTCGAAACTAGACGTCGTCCTATAAGAAATTACAAAACCGAGAACGGTACCGATTCTAGGATGGGAGGTGAGCTCGCGTGGGTAGGACCGGAGAGGCACAGAGACGTACACAGTAAGTAGAGTACTTTGGATGCCCAGAGAGGTCACGTATTTGCTGATCAAAGTGACGGCGGTAGCCCAGCCGGTGAAGAAAAGTAAAATATGCCAGCAGCGGAAGAGCGCGGTAGCAAGCAATGCGTCCACACCAGAATGCCACGGATTCCTATCCGCAGCGCGAGCAGGTTGTCAGCGCTTTCGACATCCGTCACGACACAGACTGTGTTTGCTCACTTTCTGGCACCGAAAGGATCTACAGCATCTGGCACTTTATGGTGCGTGAATGCCGCCTCCATACCGGCCTGTATTAGAGCAGACCGTAGTCAGAAAAGAGAAAAGAAATAAGGGAGCAAGAGGTGGCAACGCGTTGCATAAATCCATTTGACCGAGGAGGTAAATGGCGGCCTACTTACGCGAAGGCCTAGAGCGGGCGCTTGCGTCCGATCAAAGCCGGCGGACATGGGTGATCTGGGCGGTTTCGCCGGAGTCGCCACCATCGTTGACGACGTCGAGCTCGTATGGGTCGTCACCGTCGTACGCTTGCACTCGTCGGAGTGGACGAACGCTATACTGAACTAGTGCTGCATCTCTTCACCTTTTGTAGTCTTGATTCTGGCACTATGTAGATCTCGTCATCTTCATCTGATTTGATTGATGGGCACGAATGATCTGGCTTGACCTTGGAAACGTCTCGTATCCCGGAGGACTGCCTTTTGCTTCCGTCAACACGGGACTCTACATGGTGAAGTGCGAGTCTACATACTTTATACTTAGCCGTGAACTAAGCATTCTTGCTGGTGCGATGAGATCCTCTCGACTACCTGCATATGCTTAGGTGAAGCTTGATTAAATTGTCAATACGCTGTGGAGCATTAAGGTAACGAAGGTGTAGAAAATATTAATGAGGCGGTCCTCTTATGATGTGCGATACTTGCGAAACGTGGATCATCTGGCATGTCCTTGTATAGTGATTGTCAGGTGTGGAGGAGATACTGACCTATGCGTCACTAGGGCTGCTTTCCCTGGATTCATCCACGGAGGCCTCATTTGAAAACCAGTGAGCGCGTCCTATTCTGACAGAAGCATACATGTATACATTATGGCGTCGTGCGGTGCTGTTGTTGCTCCAGAGTTATTCGAGGACAAAAAGGAGATTTACATCGATCGTAGTTCTGAGCGCCCATAGTTATTTGATGATCAAGATTAATATTGGCGCCGATCGTACAGCTAGCATGAAGGGCCTGTGAGCCCCGCGGAACCGTAAAACGCGAGTCAGGGCGAGCTCCACCGTTAGTATGTGTGGCTGTTGTAGCATATGTATCCTGGAATTCCGTGCGAGCGCCAACGACGACAGAAGGAGGTGGCGTAGCAGTACTTCAGTGCATCAGAAATGCCACAGTCGAAGGCAGGGAGGTCTCGCCGTAAGACTCGCCTAGTCATTCGATCCGAGTCAGCGAGCGCAGCATTTGGGTAGCAGGTTGGCAGTCCTACTCACCTCCGCGATATGCCCATCCAGCTCGTGCCTTCTGTGAACAAAGTATAGTACCTTTGTTCCTTACCCGCAGCTAGAGATGACTCTATAGTGCTGCCTGGAATGTTGCTCAGGTATACTAGAGCGCGGCCCCATTCACTCACCGAAAGAAGCTCTGGAAATTGCATAACCCATGTTCAATTCACTCAGATCTTCCCCAAGAATATCCGAGTCGGGCCGGCACCGCTCGCCTGCAGTGCCTCACCATGGCAGCTGTATAAGTTCACTCTGGATAAAGGTCATCTGGAACGAAACTCGAGTTTACTGAGGAAGTTACTACGGCATAGTATAGTTCGTGACTTACAGAAGCGGTGCTTAACGGCCAGGGGTGGCCTTTCGTCAGCCGAATGAGTGGAAGGCGTGCTATTTCTCAAACCTGCAGAGTGGCAATCTGGACAGGGGTTGAAATCGAAACCAATACAGGGGCGAGTGAGTGCCTGTGGGCTACGCTTAGATACGAGAAGTCGAGGTGAACCCTCCTTCGAAGATAGAGGACCTAGGCCCGAAGAGTTGTAGCAGCAAGCCACTGAGATCTCAGCATGGAAGTAGGGACCCTTAGCTTACTCTTGTGCAGAAGGGTGCAGATGCAGAAAGGAAGACGAGATAAGAAGGGCTAGTGACCTGGGCCTCGGATGTGCTAGAGATGTAGTGAAAATCAGAAGCCCGGCCTCAGAGAAAAGCAGCAGCGCATTGAGTTTCTTCAACTAGGGTCAACTTCAGCCTGTGTGGCGAGAAGGAGACGGGTACAAGTCAATTCACCGACATTTACTTTACATCGGTCAGCAGCAACCCGTCGAACCTGCCGGTTACAAATCCAGAGTATATCATTGGACCCAGCACCTCGTCCAGGGTCCAAGAACACGAAGTTTCCATAACGTGTACGGTATCCTTGAATTTCCTGGGAAATGAGCGGTTTCGAGCAGGCACGGAACAGCGGCAGGTGGTAGGTCAGTCAGAGGCCCTAGCGCCACTGGGAGCGGACACCACCTCGTGCCCGGCGAGACGTTAGCTCGGGCAGCGGAAGGACGGTAGGCCTGGGCGCTGCCAGATACCCGCAGCTTGAGCACTGTGTCGGGAGAGGGTGGAAGCTTCGATGCCGAGAAGAGAAGGGGCGGTGAAACGTTGCTTACCGAATTACAGTGGCGGGAAATAAGGGATTAAGCTTTGTCGATAAATGAGCCCGAGTAGGTACACGAGTATGGCTTCTTTAGAGGCACGCCTTAAATCAGATTCACTGTGTATTGGCCGATGCCTGCCAATGGAAGGAAATCAGGCCATCTCACTTGCTCTGATCTTTATCTTTCAGGCTTCATACAAGAGCAGGAGAGCAAATGGGAGACGGCAGAAGCAGACGACAGGTCAGGTAAAAGAGGAAAGCGGTGTGGGGTCTGTACAGCCATGCGCATCGGGACCACGAGCCACGTCGGATTCCGGTAAGAGAACGCCGGAGGAAGATCGCCTACCGCGACGATGGGAAAACAGAGCAAGACCTTAAGCTTTTGTTCATGACTGAGGCCGTGTTTTGACACAAGAAGTCCTGCCTTTGAATGAACACCCCAGATCATGGGGCGTGTCGGAGGTTACCTGCCATTGCAGGGGAAATCGGGCGATCCTGATCTTCCGTCTTCCATTGTACTCGCGCTGAATCTCGGAGTCCTGCAGGGATAATTAAATGATGAAGGTGTTACGTTGAATATCCAGTGTCGAGTACAGATCCGGGGGAAGGGGGGGCGCCTGTTAACGCACATTGGCATGCAGTAGCTTCCAACTATCAGAAAACTAGCACGTCTAAGCCATCGAAAATTCGCTGGAGAAGTTATCCAGCGCATGTGTAGCATGCTGGAGTGCAGCGTGGGGAAGAGAGCATGATTAAACGTGCGTACCCTAGCATAGGTGTGGGGGCAACAGAAAGATAAATCTTTTCATTTAGTCAACTGATTCGTGACGGAAGAATGCATCTTGATGGGGGACAAGCAATCAGGGCATCTGCGAAAAGATGAGTGGCCGATCCGGCGGAGCGAACCCGTCCCGCGTATTGAGTCCGCGAGGTATTAGGGCATCGGCACGAAAGCCGTAGAAAATCGGGAGAGATTCCAGCTCTGTCCTTGAAATTGGATAGATGTTGCTGAGCTTCAACCGGCAGGTCATGGGTTGTAGACGTCTTTCGAAGGAAAGCAGTAGGGCCCAGCAACGAAAGCCGTTTGACTTTGGATATCCCACGGCATAGAGGTTCCGGTACGCATTACTTAAAAGCACATAAATGTCGCAGGTTTCAAAGCGGCGAAGGCTGCCACCCAAGAGCCCATCGTGGTGTGTCGCGCGAAGCTCGAAGGAGGGATATGTAAAGGATCGTACCTACTCACCGATACCCAGAATCTGTATGAATATCGTTCGGAATCGATCTCCCAAAGAAAGGGGGTCCGCAATTTAGAGTATACGAGGGCACTATAGCGCACTCAGGCTGGCTATCCATATGTGGCAGACCTTGGACGGTTCGTCCAATTCTACTCTCGGAATGGACCGAACCAATTTCTCACGCTCACTCCGGATTGCTGGCACGTCTTTCCATGGTGAGTCCGCCCTTCATCGATGCTTCATCCCCGGTCCCCATTGGCAGATTAGCCCTGCGAATTGTTATAGCAACCTGAAAGAGACGGTCGATACTCCCAAGAAACGTCCCAAACACTATATTCAATTTTCGTATGTTGATTTTGCGATAGTACGTAGTGCCACTCTGGCAAAAGCCGAAGTGATCAACCCAATTCAGTATCTGACTCGATAATCGACAGAAATAATCTATTCGGATAGATTGGATGCGCTTTGGTTTCGTTCGTCCTGCTCGGTACATCCGTCCGAATCTCTGCAGCAAACCTTGGACACAGTATCGCGGCATCTCTGACATGGCAACGGCGGTGAACAAGACGGCTCATCCTTTCGACAAACAACGGCTGGAGACGGTGCTGAACCGGAGGTTCTGAGTTTCGGTCTATGCGAAGAGGGACGTACTGAAGGATGGTCTGGACATAGGTTCTTCTATGCCCCTGCCTTCGAAATCTATGGCGGTACGTCCGCCGCCTTGTGTCAGTGACTCATAGTCGTTCAACCCCGCACAGGTGTTGCCGGGCTTTATGATTACGGTCCACCTGGTTCCGCACTCCAGGCGAACATTATCGCTGAATGGCGAAAACATTTTATCGTGGAGGAACACATGCTCGAATTAGACACCACCATCATGACCCCTGCACCTGTATTTGAAACCTCCGGCCACGTCGCTCGATTTGCGGATTGGATGGTAAAGGACACCAAAACCGGCGACGTTCTCCGTGCGGACCACTTGGTCAAGAATGTATTGGAGGCACGGCTGGCTTCAGACAAAGAGGCCCGTGGTCTAGCCGCTCAACCCACGAAAGAGGACGAGAAAGACAAGAAGAAGAAGAAGAAAAACGTGAAAGCCGCTCCGATCAAGTTACCGGATGAACTTGTCAATGAATACGAGCGTATATTGGCCAAGGTTAGGTCGCGGTTCTAGATGTCTCACCTGTGCTTGACGCGTGTCTGCAGCTAGATGATTACTCGGGCCCTGAGCTCGGAGAACTCTGTCGCAAGCATTCCATCAAAAACCCGGATACAGACAATGAGGTCACCGACCCCGTTCAATTCAACCTGATGTTCGCTAGCAGCATCGGTCCGACTGGCCAACATCCAGGGTAGGCTCGCTTACTGCGTGTCCGCGGTATCTTTCTCATGTGACCTGCCTGCCCCAGCTACCTCCGACCTGAGACAGCCCAAGGCCATTTCCTCAACTTTTCACGCCTCCTGGATTACAACAACGGACGTGTGCCTTTCGCATCCGCGCAAATTGGCCGATCGTTCCGCAATGAGATCTCGCCCCGCGCAGGTCTCCTGCGTGTGCGTGAGTTCACGATGGCCGAGATCGAGCACTATGTCGACCCCGAGGACAAGAGCCACCCCCGCTTCGGAGAAGTGCGTCACGTTGTCCTGTCGCTGCTCGACCGTCACACGCAGTCCGCGGGGAGCACGCAGCTCGTCAAGATGAGCGTCGGGGAGGCAGTGGATAAGGGCATCATTGCCAACCAGACGCTCGGGTACTTCGTCGCGCGGATATACATGTTCCTCCTCAAAATCGGGATCAACCCCGACCGGCTGCGATTCCGGCAGCACATGGCCAACGAGATGGCGCATTATGCGACCGACTGCTGGGATGCTGAGATACAGAACTCGTACGGTTGGACCGAGTGCGTCGGGTGTGCGGACCGTGCTGCGTACGACCTGTCCGTTCACACCGCCAAGACGGGCCACCCCCTCGTCGTCCGGCAGGCGCTGAAGGAACCGATCGTAATCGAGAAGGAAGTGCCGGAGTTCAACAAGAAAAATCTGGGGAAGAAGTTCCTGAAGGACTCCGCTGTCGTGCAACAGATCGTGGGCGACATGAACGAGACGCAGCTGCTGAATCTGAAGGAGCAGTTGTCAAAGGGGTAACGTCTGATTCCATTACGTTTCACTATGTGTCCTATCCCTGATTCGCCAACTCCGTCATAGGACGGCCACAATCACGTCTTCTGACCAGAGGACCTTCGAACTCACGGCCGAGCTTCTGACCATAGAGCGAAAGACTATTAAGCAGTCCGGTATGTCATGTGGCCGTGAAGTGCGGGGAAGAGTCTCACGTCACCTAATTTTACCAGTCCGTGAATTCATTCCCAATGTGATTGAGCCTTCGTTCGGTCTGGGCCGCATCCTTTATGCTCTGCTGGAACACAGCTTCTGGTGCCGAGAACAGGACATCGAGCGTGGGGTGCGTACATACACTCTTTGTCCGTTATCGTGATGTCATATGCTAACGTCCGTCTTGTACCCTGCGCTCTAGGTCCTGTCTCTCCCGCCGCTGGTGGCTCCAACAAAGGTCTTGATCGTTCCATTAAGTGCCAAAGAAGAATTCGACCCCCTAGTGGCAGAAGTTTGTACGTCAATTCCAGGGTGTGCGCTGCAGATGACTGACCTGTTATCTCCCTGCTTCTCACCGTTCCTTTATGCTATCCGGGGCCCTCGTTCGCAGCTATGAAGCTTCGCAAGGCCGGGGTGTTCTCGAGGGTGGACGATTCCAATACGTCGATCGGAAAGCGGTACGCCCGGAACGACGAGCTGGGCACGCCCTTCGGCGTCACGCTGGATTTTGCCTGTACGTGGCTACGTTTCGTGGATTGATCCGAGCTGTCTGATGTTTAACGGCCCCCTACAGCCGTTGCGAATCGGACAATGACACTCCGGTGAGTCGCCGAGTCCTTGCTTGTCCACGAGACCTTCTGGACGCGCTACCTTGACTCTGGGGCTGACAAACCGCTCGCAGGGAACGCGATACGACCGCGCAGCGTATCGGCGATATCGACGAGGTGATCGCAGTGGTCACGGAGCTCGTGGATGGGACTATCAACTGGGCGCAGGCCTGCGAGCGGCTGCCCGCTTACGACGGCGTGCAAGCCGTCGAGTGAGTGATGATAACACCTGCGTGCGTTGCCTATCATCCGGCGTCCAAGGGCTACTTAGGGATACAAAATGCCGAGGAGTGTTTATGTTTACGGCAGATAACGGTCAGAGGATGTGGGATGTATTATTGCTTGAGTACGGAATGACGCGCCCTGCTGATATGATGGGCATCTATCTAATCTTGAATTGATGAAGTGCGGGAGTACCCGCGGGCCTGAGAGCAGATGCTGAAACCTTCGAACCCGGAAGGCCCACGCATTGAACACAACACCGATCTTACCGGGTCCGAGCTTTGTGCAGATGCAGATGGCCCTGGGTTGGGGGTGGCGCGGTGAGAGATGGTTGACCTCGCATTGCGAGGCGTGCCCAGGGGCACTGTATGAAGGCAGAGGGGATCCCCAGGGTTGACTGCGCTCGGGGTTATTGAGACGGTTGCTGTATGTTTTCCGACCGACGATTATCCTAAGATGTTCTATGTCCTTCGGTATAGGGACACGAGCGAGCGAACACAGCTCAATCCGGAATGTCATGACAACCTCGTGTATGCCGTACAGTTGACAAACATAGCAGGGAACGCACAATATGTACGAAAGCCCTTTCAGCGTTCAAGTGAACCTACCATCATCTCCGTTCGTCATATGATACCTGATGATGACTCGTTGCGAGCTAGGCCGTCCGGCGACAAAGGAACTTTTGCGGTGGGGGAAAGCTCACTCCTGGGGGTTGGCGCCAGGACAGCGGTGGGGAATTACGGTTGAGATGCTTTGAGCAGTACGTGTGTTAAAAGCGGCTTCTCGACGAAGAGCTTCCTGAACGAGCGAGCAGAACCTGCCCGGGCGATAGGCGCCGCTGGCTTCTCACGTCACCGACGGGTACTGTCCACAGAGGCCGGGTCAAGTGCGCCGTCAGATGCACTCGAGGCCGTCGAGTGCGTTTACCAAATAGCCTTTGCGGACAGAGAGGGGTATGATGTCAGTGTGAGAGGTGGATTGATACGTTTCACGGTGCTGGTATCAGTGCAGGCGCTATATTCAGCGCGAGGAACTCACGAAGAGCCGGACATCACAATGGTACCGGCGGGCCAGGCCCAGCTGTGGGTGGCCAGCGACTCTCCTTCGAGTCATGGCCACAATGCGCGCGCATCCTCGGGGTCTGCCGATTGGACCCTTCGGGCATGGAGGTTACTTGTCGGAGGGGAAGCTGGGAGCGAATCGGGTGGGTCGGCGCCGCGCTTCGACGTAGGTGGCAGCGACGGATGCAGCAAGCGTGCCTCTCGGACGAGGAGAGGTGCTAATTGACGAGATCTCGTCGGCGAAGGCGTCTCGCAGCATGACGTCGCGTCCGAGTCGCAGGACAAGTATAGTAGTTGTGGCCTTGATCAACAAAGCAGCGCGGGCCACGGCGTGTATAGTAGAGAGCGGGCTGATTATCCTGGCTGGCCGAGGTGCCGTGAAAGCAAGGGATTCCCAAGCAGGGGATGGAGCTGGCATGCAGCGACGAAGGGAGCCGGAGGGCTGGTACGTAACCTTGGCAGACGATCCTTGACCGAACGAAAGAGGAAGACCACGCCCCGCGGTAGGAATGCCCGAAGGGGAATGGTAGGAGTATTCACGTATAGAGACGTGCTGAGAGCATCTCCCGCTCCACTCGTCCAGAGCATGGGAGTCTACCGCGGCGCAAATATAGCTCTGCATCGGCCTCAAGGCGCGCAGGAACGAGTAATACGACTGGCGGAGCAGTTCGAGACACGGACGCGGGGGAAATGGCAGCGCAGCCAACGTGTTGTGGAAATATCAAAATGAGGACGGGAAGCGTGGATGAGCGTTATCAAAGCCGGGCTCAAATCCGGCTTTACCGCTACGCATATCGCTTCGACGCGCACGGGTTCTTCTCAGACCAGCGTCCCAGATTACCGGTTAGGCCTCCTGCATGACGAAAAATTCTACCTGAGATTGCCTCCGAGCTGCAGACGCCAGCCCTATAAAGCCAATCTCGCTTGCCGCCATATCCCGCCTTCCATCCCAAGTACCCTGGGCTTTGCTTTCCTTACACTTCGTTCTTTCGCTGGACGCACTCTCTCTTTCTGCGCCGATTTATTCGTTCATCCTACCACACTCTATCACCCCAATGGCCACTCGCGTGCAGAAAGTCGACCCGTCCAAGACATCGTCCAGCAAAATTAACCCAGAGCAGCTCATGGCGCTCCCCAGCCTCACGCACGCCCTCTCATCACTACCGCAGGCCAAGAGCCTCGATGGCGTGCCAATACACCGCTCGACATACCCGTCCATGTCCGCCCAGCACGCAGCCGAGAGCGAGGCAAAGGTCTGTACCCGTCCTGTCATGTGCCGCCCAAACCAGTCGCTTATGGTTAAGCCGATCCGTAGCTGAAAAAAGCGCTGTCCAAGACGGCGGCCTCGCAGTCCCAAAACGTCGCGAGCAAGAATGGCTACGCCTTTTCGGTACGTGCCCGAGGATACTCCCGTTGTGGACGCGCCGCTGATCACTTTGCGGGATTTTATAGCATTCGCCAGATCGCGACCAAGGTTTAATGATGCGGAAACCGGTATGTGTCTCGCTCAATCGCCGATATGAGACCCGTTCGCTCATTCATTCCACGCACAGCTGCGAACAAATTTACAAGTCTGACTACGCCCCGGGTCTCCTTTCTCCTCCGGTTCTCGCGCACATAGATCTCGCCCGCTGTCTCTTTGTTTATTCGTTTGTGGGACTTTGGAGACCATGGCCGGCGCGTCAATGGCTCATTCACAAAATGTATTTCTCTCCTGCATTTTCTCCCTGCCCTCCCCCTCCCCCTCATCACTACTAGACTTCATCGCTATACTCTATCATCGCTTTCTTGCTTGTCCCTGCATCGTCTCCTACACGCATGGCCCCGTACTACGTCTTTTACTACCGCACGCATTATTACTCTGTCGACTACAGCGCCGCCGTCTCCATAGAGTTGTCCCACAACAACACCAACAATACACATCCGCTATTGCTTCTGATTCTGACTCGAGCGTGATCCCGTGGTGTATCGCTTTGTGTTCTTTGCGCGCCATGCGCCCACCCCCGAAAGTTTGTGGATGCCTGCCGGACCGCTCTAGGCTTGCACTTTCATCAGCGCCTGCTATTTTCGGACGCCTTCTATGTTGTCCTCAGTCCAAGTCTGACTTGTGCTGTTGGCTGTTCGGGTCTATCATTTGCACGGAGCAGGGGTATCGCCAGCCCGGGCTAACTTGGTCTATCAGCAACATATTCTGGTAAGAGCAGGTGTACATTCAGCGCCGCTCCTTGCACTTGGGCCGCCGTTCGATATATCGTAGACTTTGCGAAACGTCCAGATAGCTGATCATGGCGCGAGCTTACGCCTTCTAAGTATGTGATGTACCTATCCTTCGCATGCGGATCTACGCGAGCTGAACTCACTCTATCTTTCTGCCGGACCATACTGCCAATCAGCCTATACCCGTTCGGAGCGGCCTTGTGCTCTCCACCCTCGCGGTCTCACTCGGATTATATTGATGTATGTATGTAATCTAAGCCCACCATTGCCCCCGCCATGCAGATCTAAAAACTTAGACTGCTCGACGTCAGCTCAATAAGCCTAATCTCTGTGTTAATCTGCTCCACGAGGCGCAACGCGTACCCGCCCGCCCCTAGGGAGGCGCTTTACTGGGGGGCGTCATGCCCCGCGAGGCAGATTATCCTGCATTCGTGCTTCCCCTACGCTGCTGTGCCGCGTCCTGGGATTCTCCTGTTCCTGCGGCAGAGACGGGATGGGCAATGGCAAGTCGTGATCAAATTCGGATCGAAAGCTAGTTTATGGCTATCTTACACGTAAGGACTTGGAGGGCAGGGCTTGAGCTTATCGTTACGTCTGCCTCGGTGCATATCCACCCAGCGCTGCTTTTATCGGGCTGCGACGATGCGAGGGGACCTACTTCCACTCGGGCTTACGGCGGGCGAGAAGGCGTTTCGTCAGCGGTTCCGTAAAGTCCGTACACAGTTACGGGCGGAATGAATGGATGCTGGCCTTGTGTTTGCCATCGGTTGAAGTAGGCTCCTCGGCACTGGGAGGGATTGGCCAAGGTTGGTGTATGTTTTGCTTATCCTATTTCTCCCGGGGCCTTCGATGCGTGTCGTCTTATTCGACAGCGCTGAGCATTCTTGTTGGGTTGTTTGACATGCTCCGGTTGGACAGGAGGTGAATGTGTTCCTAGGTGTTCCCGTTGTTTCTGCCGGTGACTTTGACATACCTGCAATGTATTGTCTACCCTGTCATTAGGTATGTTGGTGCTGAGCTCTCTTATTAGGCCAAGTATCGGCACGTGCTGCTGTAACCCGTCTGAGCTGCATATTGCGCCCTCGATCTCTTTGCCTCTCGACCATGCTCGTGCGCAGGTTAAAGGCGGGGTACTCGGTATGATACCGTAGACTTCCTCATGGCCGCCACGTTCTGGTGAAATCATGGCGATTCAGATAAGCCCTGGTATTTACGCCTGTATGTCCCTGGCAACGTTTCATGGTTATTGTATGGTTGCAATGTGCTCTTGTGAACATGGCTCCCCTTAATTCATCTCCGTGGAATGATGTATGTATGCCTCGTGCGCCCTTAGCCGACCCACGACTGTCTAGACGTCATCTGTGTATTCGACATTATGCGTTTATCGGTAGATTTGTGTTGGAAACCCTGCCGCCGGTGTTTTGTCTTGCCGACGTCGTCTTGCTTTCTCTTCACCCCCGAACAAGCAGCACAACGCGTCAATAGAGGACTCTAATTAACGCGACGCGTCGGTCATGTGACTTTTGCTGGTATATCTAGTCATGTGTCCCTGACGCAGTGCTTCCCACTCTGCACCTCCCTCGGAAGACGGACTTGGATTCGGCATCCCCATCCATTTTTCGGGCTCGTCTGTGCGCCGATACCAGCGTTACTTTCATCCATCGGCATGAACGTGTAACACGGTCGTTGAGACATTCATGACAACAAAGCCTCACCGCCCGGCCCAGAAGCCCAATCCGACCACTCCCGACTCCGCCTAGCCCGATCGGCGAGCACCAATTGGTCGTGTATCACAACGGAGGAGTGCTTCTCGACAAATATACAAGTCGTTCAGAGCATATATAAGGGCGGTGGTGTATTGACCAGACGCCAAGTAACTAGCCCAGCATGCCTTGTGAGAGCTTGGAACAGCTTGTGGACGATATCCTTATCGAAATCCTCTGTGGATTGCCTGTCCGAGATATTTTGTCCATCCGACAGGTAAGTCGAAGCTCTTTCCTACTGCAAAGGCCGTTTCTTATGGTAATGGGCAGACCTCGAAGCGGCTGTCGTCTGTGACGCGGGTGCGCAATGTCTGGCATCACAAATTCTGCGCCGAGGTGCTCGGCCACGCCCTCTCGCTAGACGGGTCGAGATACCTCTCTGTACCCTCGTCAGACCTGGAGTCGCGGACGCGGCGGGCGCTGCGCCTGCACAAGAAGTGGCCCGCGATCGAGTCGCCCAAGGCGGTTGCGTTTGAGGCTCCTGCTGAACATGGTGCGGTGCGGCAGGTGGTGCTGCTGCCCCAGGCCTGGCAGATCCTGACCGTGCACGATCATCGTGTGCTGTGCTGGCAACTCCGGGAGTCTAATGGCTCCAGCTTGGACGTCCACCATGAGGGGGAGTATACGTTCCCGCCGGACGATGCTCCTCGGCTTGTTCGCGATGCGGCGGGCTCAGATACAGTTGCGCTTGGGTCACTGACAAGGTAAGGACGAAATTCATGGAGATGACCGACAATGCTGATATTGTACACGACACAGGCCAAAGCTGCCGGTCGTAATATTTTCAATAGGGCAGAAGCCCATATTCCTGGAACGTCGCGTTATCCAGTCTTTACCCGGCGTTATGGTGGGCCTTTGGCGCCACCTATTATTCTATGATACCACAACGCCGGAGACCGCCGACGAAACCACTGGAATGGAGATTATCGACTGGCGCGGCAGTGCTGGAGGCTCGGTGCTCTGCCCTCGTTTCCATCCGCAGGTGTGTGTACTGATTTACTTCAATGAACAGTGTTTGCTGACATATCGCAGTGCGGTGATTTCATTGACCTGCAGGTATTCGCGTCTCATCTGTTGGTCGTATGGGAGGCTGCGATCGCGGTATTTGCCATGCCCGAGATCCCGGAAGAAGGTCAAGCCGTTGCCGATCCAGTAAAGATATACCTGTTCGCGGAACCCGTCTCGCGGCCAATCGCATTTACGACTTGCAGCCAGGGTTCCGTGGACACCGCAGTTGACCCATCCAAGGTTGCGCACTCCCTGACCATAATCGCGCGTCCCAAGCACCGACCGTACGGGCTCGTCCACTCCGTTCTACGACCCCTTCCAAACGATGATTCCGATTTCCCTTTCGGTCTGACTCGCATCCCCTCGCGCACCGAGCGGTCGTGCTGCGCGCTGTCCTGCGGGTCGAGCGGGCGAGGCATTTGGATCGACGCGAATTCGGTGCTTCGCTGCAGCCCTGCACCCATGATGCTTCCCTCGTCTGATATCCAATACACTGTCGACTGGGTGCCGAACCCGGTATGGACTCTCAATACGCGAGTTAATCCCGACTCTGCCTGCATGGATTTCGACGAGGGCATGGGGCTGATCGTCGTCGGGACCGGGGAGGGAAAGATCTCCATTATAGACCTAGCCTGACAGGATCCGTATACTCAAGGCCGGAGATTAAAGTTCCTGAATCCCGCTCAGGCTGTGCGTACGAGTGATCAGAATTAGATCAAAGGTTCTCCTGGTATCAGATCTCCCTCCATACTACAGTATTTCCCTAGTGTAATGTTGTCCTATAGACGCTTCGGACGCACTTACCTGGTCCTCGCGAATTAGATTGCTTTTTACGAATCTTGCACATTCTCCTGCAGGATGAACTCTAGTGAGCCAGTGACTGACTCAACCGCAGTCAGCCACAACCCGGCGATCTCCGAGGATGTGTACACGGATGACGGTTCCCGACACCTGCATCCTCCTGCTTGAAGCCCTAATGCACGACCGCAACACGTTCCCTTGAAGACACCACCATTTACTGGCTTTGCAGTTTATTGAATTGTATAATGACCACAACGCACTCAGACACAACGTCTCCAACGGCTTTCAGTCCTTTCTCGTCTAATTCTGTCGGCAGCGAAATAACGTCCGACGGTAAGCCAAGTCACGAACTAACTTCGCCAACTAACGCTGACGGTGGATCGGGTGCAGACGCTGCAGATCTTGGCGCATTCCACACTGTATTCCATGCATTAAATTATCTTCATCAGCCGTCTATACCCAACACCACAGTCAACATAACCCCCACATCGTCGCTTTTCGTTTCGCCCTCGGACTACGACTCCGATGCCGTTGTATCCGACATCTGGCCTCCTAAATCCATGTCTCCCGTCCTTTCGGACGACACTGCGTCTGATCCATATGAGAAGACTAGCTCGCGATACTCGAGTCCCCCAATTGCTACTCTCGAAATTGCTGGAGATACCACGGGACTTGCAATGGAGACGCATGAGCTTCCACAAGAGGAGATAACAGAGCAACCTTCCCTAGGCTATTTGGACGAAGCGCTTAACTTCATCGCCGAGGAGAGAGCTCGGTTGACTGCCCAACTGGAAGCTAGGCTGCAGAAGCCTGTTGCACTCGATACAACTAGGCAGACTGAGCCTCGGCGCAAGCGCCGACGGAACAAGACTAAACCCCTTGTCCGCATCCTACAGCGTCCAGGCCGATATGAAGACGAAACACACTCGGATGACACCGAGCGAGTAGGTAGGGGACCAGACGAGGAAGGCGACGACTCCTCTTCATCTCCCGACGTCTCTTTCTCCTCTTTCCCTTCTACACCGCCCCAGAAATCTAGAACACGCAAGAGCGGACGAAGACTGTCACCTCTAAGGGTGACGCGAAGTCAGTCTACTCCGTCCCTACGCTTGACTGTGTCCGTGCCTTTGGACCCTCATGTACTTCAACTCCGAGCACTTTCGCACAAGTTACGACTCCTTTTTCCAGAGGATGCCGCGTCCCTGTCGTCGGTTTTGTCTGACGATTTCCCGGACCCACCGGACTTCATTGACCCTCGAGGGCCATCCCCAACACCATCCGATCCTTTGATTCATGTATTCATCGATCAGTACGTTTTCTTTTCTTATAATTTATCTTACTCACAATGTTATTTCCTCGACAGTTCCAACATCCTTATCGGCTTTCTAAATTATCTCCGACGTAATTTGCATCATTCCGCCCGGAAGGGCAAACACATGTCGCATTCAGCACTGGCGCTTATATTAGAACGGGGCCGGCCAATAAATCGCCGCGTCCTTGTTACTTCGTCACCACTGTATCAACCCATGGACTCAGCCGAGCAGCTGGGATACGAAGTCCGTATTTATGCTCGGGTTCCTGATACCGGGGATGGCGCCGACAGGAGACATAGTGGAGATTTGTCTAAAGGAAGAGGCGGGAAGAAATCTGCGCCGATCGCCATCAGGGGGCACTCGCACAAGAACTCAAATGGCGGAACTTCAACCGAGTCCGATCAGGCTGCTGCACTAGGGTCGAGCCCGCAGCGGACAGGTAACTCTCGAGGCCACGGACGCCATCCCTCCGGTCATACGACCACGACCGTTGCCCCCATCGTGACACCAGGCGGCCGTGTTCGGTATCGCGAACAGGGCGTGGACGAGCTACTGCAGTTGAAGCTCCTGCAAGCTATAGCAGACGTCGACGTGCCTCCGCCAAACGCGACTATCGTACTCGCAACGGGGGATGGCAACGTCGGACAGTTTAATGAAGAAGGTTTCCTGGGATGTGTACGAATAGCACTGAAGAAGGGCTGGCGGGTCGAACTCTACGCTTGGGAAGGTGGACTGAGCAGAGCGTGGAAAAGGGAGTTCGGGAATGGACCCTTCAGCGAGAGCTTTAGAATCATCGGCATGGAGAAGTTCGGTGCGGACTTGATCGAAATCTAGAGGTATGTGTTACGTGGCATTGTCCCTTCAATGTAATGTATCGGTTTTGAGCGCCTGTAGGTCAGCCTCAGGGTTCGCACATCTCATGTATTACTATATTGCATCTGTTGTAAGCTCATTGATCATCACTCCTTGAATTGTGCCACTACCGCGCAAGCTACCACCGCCTCTCGAAGATAAAGGACTTCCAGAGTTAATCAATTATAACGTTGCCAGTGTTACATTAGACATTTGATACAACGTCATGCTATATATGCTAACGGCTGAAACCTGAGACGTAGGTTTCGTTCTCTATCCCCATATGCTATGGAGAACGCGCGCTCTAGACAGATGGAGCGATTTTCCCGTCAACGAACGGTCTACGTTCCTGGCTGCAAGCGGGTGTTGCCTGGACCTGAAAGGGACTTCTTAACCATCTGTCAAAGTACAACTTAGCAGCGGTACGTCCTGCTGTACAACCTTTAGACGTAAGTGTCACAACATTGATACCGAATCATCTTAGCCATCGATTAGCCTGGACAGAATCCCGATTGTCCGGATTTTTTGCCTGGAGCGGGCGGGGTTCAAGGAGCTGCCAACGCCCACCAGTCCTCCCGTCGGATTCGCAGTAGATGTTGCAGCCATCAAGGGGCTCCTAGGCAAGCTTAGTCTGCAATCACCTGGTTGCCGGCAAGGAAGTCTACCATACGAGCGCTGAAAGTCCGGGAATGCAGGACTGGAAATAATAGGCGCCCATGCATGGAAGGATATAAGCGCGATATTCGATGATGAGAGGTCTACCTCTGACTCCCAATATCCGCCTCGGCCAGTACTGTGCACGAACCTCAACGCGCCTACCATCAGCCCAGTACAATTCTAAGTAGACATCTATGGCTACCAGCGTGCTAGGCCTCTTGTCGTCGGGTTTCCGAACCGAGAAGCTACTGGCGTCCCTCGGTACTACACCGGTAATATTTCCACAACCGAAGGATCAAGCGGTACGTGAAGTCACGCTAGATTTGGTTATCCTTGCTCAGTAGTACTAGGGTCTCCTCGTTACAGAGGAATTGGACAAAGCCATCGAAAGATGCCGCGCCAAGGTTAAGACAATCGCGGTGGACTGTCGGTATGTCTGAACCGCTTGTCTTTCTCGCTATTGGGGCTGATAAGGGGGCAGTCGCCGGAATAGGCGATTTAAGTATGTTTACCGGGAAAACATCCCGATCATTCTCACTAAAAATATTATCTGTTCCAAGGGATATCGAATTCGACCTCCTAGGAGATCGTGATCGCTGTCTGCACGAGCTCGGGGCTTCCGATGGGCTCAATCCATCAGATGTCTTGCGCGTTCCTCAAATATTTACTTCGCCGAGGTTTTACATCGACGATCCTAGCGCGCAGGATATAGCGCAGGGGAGGCTAGGAGACTGCTGGTTTGTCAGTGCCCTGGCCACGGTCAGCACAAAAAAAGGCCTCGTACAAAAGATCTGTGTTGCAGTACGTGTCTTTTTGAATTCACGTGAAGAACCTTTATCGAGAATACAACAACCTTCCAGAGGGATGAAGAAGTGGGCATTTATGGCTTCATCTTTTTCAAGGACCAAGGCTGGATAGATGTTATCATAGACGAGTAAGACTGATTCTTGTGCACCGAAAGATATGCTAACCCCCTTAGTTTGCTCTTTACGTCTGTGCCCAAATACGAGGAACTTGATGATACGGTGAGGCTGCTTTCCCATTCCGGACTACGCAATGCTGATATCTTTACCATTCCAGACCAAGAATCTATATAAACATGACAAAGCTATGTACAACAAGCTCGCTCGGAAAGGCTCCAAGACGTTATATTTTGCGAAATCAGGTACCGACAATGAAACATGGGTGTAGGTACATATCCAAGCTCATGCGCAGTGACGCTTACCCGTAGATGCTCTACAGGCCGCTCATTGAAAAAGCATATGCCAAGTTGCATGGGGATTATGCATCGCTTATCGGTGCCTCCGGACTATGCGAAGCCATCGAAGACATGACTGGGTAAACCCGATTCCCTACCCGGTACTCCGTTGACTGATACTGATAGATTACTTAGCGGAATAACGAATCAGATATACGTGAACGATATCCTTGACCACGACAAATTTTGGACGGAAGAGCTCCTTAATGTCAATGAAGATAGGCTTTTCTCTTGCGGCATCGATCCGGTTGCGTTCGGTTGGGACTCAGATGACACAGTAGAAGGTAGTTCTAGCACCGCTAAGATTCCGTTCAGTACCTAACAGCACGTGCCGTGGTTACAGGACTATATCCTTGTGAGTACCCAAGCACCATTAAGACCGCAGTTCGTAAACCAAAAGCACAGTACATGCATACTCCATACTGGCAGCGTACGAGGTTAAAGGTGAGTGATCCTAGGGGATCTTGTACGTCACACATCTGAAGGCGGAATCCACCAGGAAAGCGCTTCCTGAAGATCAGAAACCCTTGGGGTAAGAGCGAATGGACGGGTAGATGGAGCGACGGTTCCAAAGAATGGACCAGCGAGTGGCTGCAAGTTCTTCCAGAGCTCCATCATACTTTCGGAGACGACGGACAGTTTCTAATGGAATGTGTGTAAAACTAAAAATCATATAGTATGCAAGCGATTACTGACCAAGCTCTTGGCCAGATGAGGACTTCTTGTCGACTTGGACTCGCATAGCACGGACGCGGTTATTTGACAGCAGCTGGATAATGAGTTCTCACTGGTTGAATGTCAACGTCCGCCCTTTCCCTTGTAGGTAGCCCGGATCTGAGGACGTCAGTGCCCTGCTGACCTACCTCGCACCAGGTGCATGGACCTTCGGGGATGTCTCATGTGAGATGAACAGCAGGGCCTGTCCGATGCCAATACTCATATGATTTCCTTACAGTCACGATATCCGTACCTGCATCGACTCCAGCCATCATAGTGCTCTCACGACTCGACAATCGCCATTTCAGGAAAATGGCATGGAGTTATGAGTGGTCTTTTGACTTCCTGATATTCAAGCGAGGAGCGCAGGAGCCACTTAGTGCTTCGTCCCATGACGATTTCTGGAGCAAATCCATCAATACCGAGGTAGAGTTAGAGCCAGGAGAATATGTCGTACACGTATGTCAGCCAATTCGGTATCGTACGGATTACGGTTACATCGCAAACCCCAGATTCGGATAGACAGGACACCACAGCCTGCACCGGATAGATCAAACTGGGACGCCCGTAAGTTGGCTAGGACGGAGACGATGAAGTACATCAGTCATAGTATAGCCGCCAGTGAGTGCCTCAGCTAATACGCCAGCATTGACCTGACTAACCCTGCGACCTCCAGACTTTGACGCGAAGTAGGGGTACTCTACATTGGTCACTGTGATATGTACTTACTTCTCTGACAGAGATCTTAGTAATAAGCTGCCCCTCAAGCTGGAATCTCTCGCTGGTCGGGACGTTACGGAACTAGAACAATTGTACGGTCCATCAGGGGGTAGGGTCGTCGTGGAGGTCCGGGAAGAGACCAAAGAATTAATCGCTCGGCGAGAAGACGAACCCTCTAAGGAACCATCAGGAACGGATTCTGTAAAGCAAGATGGTGAGACCTCCGGTGCGGGACAAGCCTCAAACGCACAGGAACAACCGGCAAGCGATAGCAAACCAGAACCGCCCATAGTCGCCCCCGCCCCTGCCCCCGCCCCCGCGCCAGCGCCCGAACCGGTGCCGGTGCCTGCACCGGCTCCTGCATCTGTGCCCGCACAGGGTGCACACGAAGGCTTTAGATGCGATGTATGCAATGTAGGTCGTTCAGCAACTTCGTCCAATACCTTGATTCCAATGTTCCTTTGTCTCTTGTATAGGCGTCACCCATCGTGGGACCGAGGTTCCATTGCCTTCAGTGAGTGGGCTATTCGCGCTTTTGTTTACACACCTGGGTTGACGAACATTCCCCCAGTCCCGAATGCAACGATTTCGACCTCTGCGAGTCATGTAAGAACTCTAATAAGCACCCCGCTGACCATGAAATGCTTCGCATTGATCCTCCCTCGGGAGTGACGGGACAGAATACGGTATGTCCAGGAATTAGCATTTGTTAAGCCCAGTCACACCGCTGACTATGTTTTTTATTCTCACAAGGCCGACACTGCTAGTAGCTCTACCGAAGACGACAATCGGATTACCGTTGGCTTGCGAGTGTACACGAAGCGAGATGTACCGGCCGTGATCAAAGGTCAACTGAGACAAGGACCTATCCCCGCGGGTCTGCAGTGGTCGAATAAAAAGGAGGGTTCCTCACCCTGATGTAGCTTCTGTAGCACGTCATTCGCATATTGCATCATACTCTGTATCGTGTTCTGCGTTACCTTTCCCTATCCAAATTGTATCCTGCAGGTGGTATGAAATTCACACCATTCGGTCGCTCTCCTCATAATGGCCTGCGATGACCCTCCCTCTATTAGAGAACAGCGCCCTCGTCATCCTGTTCAGAAGCTACATGAAAGGCCTAAGCGGGCTGCCAGAGTGTCACGGTCACTTGACCGTAAGAGACGTGTTGAATGTGGCAGCGAGCTGAGAAACCGCTCTGATGCGGCACAGGGCCAAGGATTATCGACATCCTAACATAAGATCAAGAGTGAAGGTATGGCCTTCTGGGATCCTTTGTGCCGGCAAGGTAACAGCGAGGTACGTTCCTGGTGAGGGCATACTAACGGCCCTGACTGTGGAGAAAGGGGTAGACACTCGCAGCATATTAGACTTCCTGTCCACCGGAGACAAATGGCGCCGCTCTGGAAGACCTAGACACAGAGTTTAAATGAGTCCCGGGAGCGCTCTCAGGGAATAAGAGGAAGAAGATCGCTGAGCTACATCGCGCAAGTCAGGTAGATAGTATTAAGGGACTCAACGCCGTGTGACGGAGCGAAGCACTCTTCTTAGGCTGGCCGCGGCACCTGAATCGACCGGTACCTCGTCCTGTCTGTGTAACGAAGTCCCGAAGGACGGTGAGTGCGAGACACGGAGGAAGCACAAATTCTCTCCGGGCCGTCAGGCTGCTGGCCCATAGCTACAGAGGCTCCTGGTTATAGACGAGCCCTGGAGGTATGTAGCGCCGGCCAGAACTGCGTGCGCCCACACACTCACGCCTCCATTTTGTTTGGCACCAAGCAGGATATCGAGGCCAACTCGAGTTAAGAATGCCAATTTCTCTACCCGCTCACGCCCGGACGTTCAGATACCTGAGAGAGGGCGATCCTAAAAAAGCAGACCTGATATGAGATTCTGAGAAGTCGGATCACAGACCCCTGCAATCATGCCGGCCCTTAAATCGATGGCAGCATGCCCTTCATGGATGAAGGAGAGGAGACTGTCCGCTAAAGCTATGAGCACCCGATTCGAGACTGTGTATTCAGTCCTGCATGTGACAAATGAGTCTTCTCGTTTCCTGCTGCAATGAGCGCTGGGTCGCACCGGACGCATATTTTCTCCGCCGAGCCTGTAACTAGTATCGTTGACCTAGATGCTCACAGCAAGAAATTATACTGTACATGTTTGTTCGGGACTTCCACTTACAAGGTAAACATCTATTACCCAAGAGAGCGATGCCGAGTGACCATGCGCAAATAATATGGATATTAGTAGACGATGCTGAACCACAAAGGTTACGAACCTGAAATGATGGTTTGCATATGACGTCCCGTAACGGCGTAATACGGATGTTACGTTTCCATTCGTTTTGCTCGCCCGTAATTGCTCCTCAGGGCCTGATTGTTGGGCGGTCGGTATCTACCATATTCAGTCCTAGTGTAGTGTGTGTCGGCGTATTGATCCCTTCAAGCCCCTAGGTTTTGTACGGGCGTGCAAGTCAGCCAGCAGAGGGTAGCCCCTGCATATTCCTGGGAGTGAAGTGTACGGCTGGCCCACTGCATAATCCCTACACCAAATTTAAAATTACAGCGACTGTGGCGTTGGAAAAGACAGGGAGCAGAAGCTTCACCTAATCATAAGAGGAAAGTGTCGAACCAAAAATAGAATCCCGACACTGATGTGGCCGCTTCTCAGTCTGCGGTGCAACATGCAAGCGGGACGCCGGAATATTTGCCGGCATGGACACTTGCTGCTGGCCCGTACAGCATTCCATGGTCGATATTCCCCTGATGTCCTAGGCTCCTAACAGCACGGGCGGCGAGGTGTTCCCAGTATACATGCTCGGACACCGGGACTAAACCTAATTGGTAGCAGCTGGTGCAGATGGTCCTGTCGTTCTTGCTACCCGTGAGTACTTTACCTCTATCACCATCAGTCAATTTAGCAGCTTGAAATGTATTCTATTCGGAGAAGCACCCGTGTTTAAAAGGTCACTGGAAAATCTGCGTCCCCTGAAGCTCTTAGTTGCACGCACACACGAGACAACCGACCACGATGAAGATAATGTATGCTCTGTTGCCAGCTATAGGCATCTTGCCTGCATTTCTGCCGGAGTGTCTGGCTGCCAACAGCTGGACCGGTGCTAACAGTAACCTTAAGATTTATGAATATACTCCCATTTGACTGAGCTTTTTAGACTACTACGTCTACACCTTGCCTACTGGCGAGCAGGAGACACTCTTCCAGGCAATGAGCGATGCTGGTATGAAGGTACGCATTCCCTTGCTACGCTTGTGGTAGCCCAAACTTAGTAGTGGTGATCTCCTAGGTCCTACGTACTTGGGTCACTGGACTGGACGCTGGACAAAAGGACTCTGATAACAGTGCCGTCGGCGATTTAGAGCATGGAGGACTGGGTAACTACGATGACCACGTATTGGACTTGATCGACCAGACTATGGTGATCGCCCACAACTATGGCACGTCGTAGCTTCCTTACTTACAATGGGGCGAGTGTTGTTCTAAGTCACCTCTGCTTAGGCGTGAAACTACTCATCGGCATGCATGATGGTTCGGATCTCCACTCCCATTGAGTCTTTCAGATGTTCTTACGATGAAACGCTAGTCAACGCTTTGGAAGCTGGTGACGCGTACTCTCAAGCTGCCGGCAGTGCAGAAGCTTTCTACACTGATGAAAGTACGCATTGAAGCTACCCTTTGCGCTTGGGTAGCTGACACATTGTTACAGCGACCATCGAGGCCTTCAACAATCGGATTACCTATATTCTCAACGTGCATAAGCACCAGACCTTGGGTCAACCCTGGTCAGAGCTTGGCAGTTACATCTTCGGACTCGAGGCGCAGAATGAGCCCATGATCTTTGATCAGAGTACGTGCAGAGCCGTTTAGTTGCCGGAATTTCATCCTTCTCGCCCCCCTTTTACTGTCAGATTTTTACACCTCACACTTGGACTGGATCTGCAACACTGCGAAGCAGATCCGAGGAAATGTCGGCAACCCTGACATGCTCATCCTTACCGGTGGCGGCTCTGGTTCGGCTAGCGTCCAGTCGACTTTCTTCGACTCGAGTTGTGCAATCGATGTTGTTGCCATCCATGACTACAACGAGTAAGCACTCACGCTCGCTATCTATCCACGGCATAATCTTTGATCACCGCTCAGCGATTGGGACAACTTCATGTCCAATGCGGTGTCTCAGGCTCAGGCTGCCGGGAAAAAGCTCCTCGTAGAGGAGTGGGGATCGCTCTACAGCTCGGACGACGCTTCCCGCTTGGCCAACTTGGAGAACAATATTCAAAAGATCAACAATTATGGGGTCCCCTGGCTCTACTGGGAGCTCATCACCAACCCCGACCCCCATTATGTACGATCTCTCACCTAGATCATTGGATTGATACCGTTACTCACGATTGAACTTGCTTCTAGGGTCAGGACTATGAGATCGAGGTCAATGGAGCGGACTGGAGCACCCTCGAGTCTGAGTCCAAGTCGACTGCGGGGGTAACGGCGGCATTTGATTTCTCCGCTGCCTTGGCTTTGTGACGAATCTTGAGCCGTCCAGGGCGAGGTCGAAATGCAAGAGACGGTAGTAGCTATCAGCTGAGCCTTTCTCTCGGCTGCACATCGCCTGCTGTTGGTTGGTGGCCTTTGCATGCATCGATTACTGAACGTGTATCGGGAAGCACCTGATTTTGAGACGAATCAAATGAAGCTGCGTAGCTCATGGTCTGCATGAAACGCCAAATCTAGTTGCATGGACCCTGCAGGTCTGTACGAAAGGTGGACTCATGTCGTACGGCCACCTCTGCCGAGTACTGTTTGACCCAATGAGCAAATCATGCATTGCCCAAAAGCACGGTTGCTAACTCTCCAAATCTACACTTGAAAAGAGAAAATTCTGGATTATGAGCTTGATACGTGTACAATTGTATAGGATGTGGATCGGAGTACTGTACGAATGAGAGATATAAACGACAGGACGTGCACCTATTCTAACGTGCACAAATGTTGGTAGCAAGGGATAATGCCTTCGAAACAGCAATCCCGATTGGTAAGTAGGAGTATTCCCCGTCACCACACTGCCTCACGCAATGTGAGCACCCAAGACGCCACCCTCTTCGAGCTTGACAATATGGGCTACATCAGCAGCGAGACCCTCTGAACCGACAACATCAGCGACTTTACGACCGACGTGCGCACCTAGGACACCACCCTCAGAGATGTGTGCCAGGTGAGCAACGTCCGCGGCGAGGCCCTCAGAGCCAGCAACATCGGCAATGTCGCGGCTAACGTGAGCGCCAAGAGTACCGCCCTCACCAAGTTTGAGCAGACCGGGAACAACAGCACCGACGCCCTCAGAGCCAATGATATCTGCAACGTCACGACCAATCTTCGCACCGAGCTTTCCAGCCTCAGCAACGTGAGCTACTGGGCCAACGTCCGCAGCGAGACCTTCAGCACCTTTGATATCGACGACATCACGGCCAATCTTGGCACCGATTGCACCACCATCCGCAACCTCTGCAATGCCAGGGACAGCGGCACCCAAATCCTCCTTGCCAGCGATGTCGGCGATGTCACGACGGCCAATGGAGATTCCGAGGTCGCCAGCTTCGCCAACCTTGGCGATACCAGGGACAACAGCACCAAGACCTTCAGAGCCGAAGATATCTGCGACATCACGGCCAACCTTAGCACCCAGAGCACCGGCTTCGCCGACTGCTGCAATTCCGGGTACGATGGCACCGAGGCCTTCAGAGCCAGCGACGTCGGCGATGTCACGATGGCCGATCTTGGCACCGAGCGCAGCATTTTCACCGACAGCAGCGACGCCAGGCACAATGGCACCGAGGCCTTCAGATCCGGCGATGTCAGCCAGGTCGCGCTGACCAACTTTGGCACCGAGACCGGCGCCTTCACCAACTGCAGCAACACCGGGGACGATGGCACCTAGCCTCTCAGAACCAACAACCTCGGCGATATTGCGACGACCGACGTTGACGCCGAGTGCAGCACTCTCACGAACGGCGGCGACGCCAGGAATGACAGCACCAAGGCCTTCGGATCCGAAGGCATCAGCTACGTCACGGCCGACTTTGGCACCGAGCCCAGCGCTCTCCCCAACGGCAGCAACACCTGGCAAAACGGCACCAAGACCTTCAGAGCCAACGATATCCGCGATGTCGCGACGACCAATCTTGGCACCAAGGCCAGCACCTTCGCCGACTCCAGCGACACCAGGTACAGCAGCACCCAGATCTTCAGAACCAACAATGTCGGCGATGCTGCGGCGACCAACTTCAGCACCAAGGGCAGCACCTTCACCAACGGCGGCGACACCAGGGATAACTGCCCCGAGGGCTTCAGAGCCGACAGTGTCTGCGATATCCCGCTTCGACGGGGCGACGACACAAGAATCGCCTGTGGGGGAGGGTACAAAGCCGTCATTGCAAGACTTGACTTGGCATTTCCCGACGTTGCAAGAGACGTAGGAAACATTGGGAATGGCGGAACAGTCGACGCCCATGGTTACATTGAGAGAGAACGGAGAAGGGACCATACAGCCACCGCCTTCAACACATGTGAATTAGTTATATACCAAGAGACAGATAGCGGGAAATGCGCACATGATTCCAAGTCGGATTTGGTATCGACACATTCCCATCCTTTACCGTTGCTTCCGCCGGGAACGCCGCAAAGGCGCTTGTCGGCGTCGCATTTGGGCGTGGTCCTCTTCTTGTGTGCAGCCTGAGAGCCGCAGCCATTGGGGAAGAGGCCGCACTTGCCGTTGCATTCCGTGTTGGGAGCAGCGCATGTGCAAGAAGTCGGGGAAGAGGAGCCGGAAGGGGTGAATGCGGTGTAGCCGTCCTGGCACTCGAATCGGCAGACATCAGAGGTGCTGCATATACCCTTGGCATGGACAGGATATTTGCATTGTTTCTTGGAGGATTGTTTGTGGATCTGCGCAGTTGTCAGATGATAATGTCGTTATGAAACGTGATACAGGAAGAAACCTACCAGGTCTTCGACAATGTCCGTCACCCTGGTCTCGTTCAATAGAAGGGCTGCAGTCTTGGCAACTGGGTTCTCCTTGACGAAGTCGGGAAGCAGAGACACACAAAGACAAAGGTCGAGGTGACCAGCAATCAAGGGGTGACCTGTTCATGTCGATTTAGCACGTTGATACAATAAAAACAGACACAGAACTCACCATCTTGGAGGATGTCCAGGAGCTCCAAGTCAAGATCAAGAGCAGCGCAAACGTCCAACAGGTCTCGTTTCGGGTGCGCTTGACGAGACGATATGACACGAGAGGAGTGGTGGGAGCTCGCAAGAGCCGACGTAGCCAGCAGTGCTGGGAGGGTTAAAGAGAGGCGCATCGTTATGTAACGATGGACGGGCGTAAAGGAATGATAGGGGAGAGTCAGAGGGAGAAAAGGACGGGAAATGAATACAGAGTGGTGAACGAACGAGACTTATATGCAGGTCACCTGCAGCCGACGTCGGCGGCCAAGCATTCTCTGCAGGCTCAGGCATCACGATGTCCAAATATTCTTCGACACTACGTTGTGAGGTTGTCCTCGGCAAGGCGGGATACCCTAGAAGAATTCATTAAGCGCAGCGCAATTCAAAATACTGTCCAATGATAATCCTCCTACGCGATGCTTCTGCGCGCCCGGCCATTTCCGTTCACTGAAAGAAGTGCGGAGCCGTTGCAAGCGAGGCAGAACTGCAGACGGTGAGCCAGGATATTACGCCTTGCTGAACTGTATGTATGTCAGAAAATACCTGAAATTTACGCGTATGTCCTGTATAAACTTCCATTAGAGCATCTTGCGGACGAACATGTACCGTCATCTGCGCGTAATCCAAAGCGTCGATATACCGGCGCAGCATGGGACAGTAGAAACTGGGAAAGGTCATAGGACATGAAACGCAACGGTGAGAGAAGCGCAAGAAGCGCCGGCGGCTCCAGTCACTTCAGTCTTCCCAGCGATCAACCAAGGCCACAATGCACGAGTCTGACGTATGCGCCGACGGGCGGTTGCTTCACGAGCCGCTTTTTACATAGGTCGGCCTCCGTCTGTGGTTTCGCTGTCTGGAGGCCCGGACGATGCTGGGCTTGCAAATAGGCGCACAATAATACCTCGCTCGAAGAAGAAGGCTTCCGTTGCACGGTGAATACCTCAAGAAAGGACCGTCCGACGCACCAAACTGTGGCGTACGAGAAGCGGAGACCTGTTATTACGCCAGATACTGTATCCTGCGGGAAACTGAGTGACGTACTTGCTTCCTTCGCCTGCATTACAGCTCGAATGCAGCTTGCAGAAGAACGTCAGCGTCACTCAAGGACGCGAACTTCGGATCGTATCATCACCCTGCAGGCCGAAGTCATGACATCGCTAATCCACTCATTCTCTCAGACAGTGTTGATAGAGCCCGAGCGGAAATGCAGAGAGAGAAGCGGTCAGTGCTATAATATACATACATGACGGTCTAGTCCATCCGTCCTTTCAACGTGCGCGTGATAACCTTGTCAGGCGTACTGTTACCGACGCATCATTAATACGAGTAAACAGCATCAGTCGCCTTCACTCACATTACATGAATGATAGCCCCCCAGCCTGAAAAAGCGTCCCGATCCACACCATTGAGCAGTGTTTGCGAGATCGTCTCAAACAGATCCTCCGGCTCCAGGTCTGGCTCCCAGAGTCCCTCCGCTACACCGAAAAGCTTCTCGCTCGCCGTCCCTGCTACCACGAAATCCTTAGCAAAGTTCAGACAGCCGATCAGGTCCGCGGCGGCGATGTACGGCTTGTGCTCGCCCTTCTGCGTTTTCCAAAGTCCCGCCATCACAGGCTCAATGAAGTACGGGCCGAAACGCCTCTCGTATAGTGTCGACGAGACGAGGTGTGCGAAGGCCTCGGGCTCGATATCGCGCTCCTCCTTGATCGTGTACATATTCACTCTGAATCGGAACTGCTCTCGTCTGTGTATTGGGTGTAAGGAGCGAAGACGAGTAGTAATAACAGAGTACTGCAACTCACAATGTCACAACATCTGTCGCCAGACCCGACATTCCAAGGTAGATCCTATCGGTGACTGGGAATACCTAGACAATTCAAGACCGTCAGGCAAACATGAGAGGCAAGAACCGCTTACCTTTTCAAAGTTCGTAGCAACAGTGAGTGCTTGGTTCCCCAACCGTAAATCTGACCCAATAGCAACACATCCTTTCCCGACCATGGCGATCACGGAGCCACCGTTATATTCCATTATCGACTGTGCGGTCCATTCAGAATCGCTCCGCTAAGTAGATCCAGTTTACGCACCATGCTGGGCAAACTGCTTGGATAGACAGTGACTGAGAGGGATATAAAGCAGGTGCGCCCAGTATACGCGTCCTCAGGGTTATATGGAGGTGACGCGTCGTGCAAGGTTGTCACATGCGTAACGGAATTCTAGTTACGTAATGACTACCCGATATGGAAGGTGTTTAAGAACGACGAACGCCGTTCAGCTTTGGGTTTCTCCAGCAAGAGGTACTGCGAAGTTACATAGTACAAGTTCACCAGAAGAAAAGAGGCACCAATCCACCATATCAAAGAGCCCCAAATCCACCGGTTCCCAAAGAGTCAGGCAGTGCACGATCACCCGTTCCACAACCCCGACTCGCCGCCGTCGCCGCATCACTATCAAGCGTGATAACAATCTCTCCCCCACCCACCACATCATCAAACGATATCCAGCACAAGCTCTGGCTCGCCTTCCCATTAATCGTAATGTTGCTAACGTACACGCTACTTCCATTCGGAGGTGTAGCGGTCAGAGCAGCGGAGTCAAAGTTCTCCACTACGAACTTCGTTACGGTGTTGAACGCATTGTTAGTGAGGTTAAAGGCGGATACAAATGGCGTCCCGATCAGCAGCTGGCGGGAGGCGGGTACGGGGTAAAGGCCGAGGAGGTGGAAAGTGAGGAGCGCGGCCATCGCGCCGCTGTCGTCGTTGCCGGGGATCTAGTGACTCGTTCAGCAGCAAGACATGATGGAAAGTAGAGGACCATACCCCGCCGATACCAGTACCAAAATTATTATACACAACATTCCTAATCCGCAATGCACTCAGGTCCGGCCGCCCAGCGTAATGATACAGCCAGGGAAGCTCGAACGAGGGCTCATTGCCCGCGTAGAAATACCCCTTCGCGAAATAATTATCCCTGAATCAATGAATCCTTCAAAAAAAACCCCAAGATGAGGAAAACACAGGAGATCGAACGCTACGTACAGCCGGCTGACAAACGTCTCTGGTCCCCCCATGAGACCCACCAACGTCGCCATCGAATGCGGCGCGAAGAAGCTATACTCCCACGACGACGCTACCCCAGACGTCTCAGTTACCACCCCGCCCCCCTTTCCAAGAAATTCACAGTACTTACACTCGTAGAACCCAACATCATTATCCGTCCCGCGCGCACATGAATGAGGGGTGGGATCGACTGGCGAGCATGCGTCGGGCGGGCTATACGCGAACGTCCCATTCTACCAAACATCACATCACACCCTTATAAAACCCACTAATCAATCAGCGCTGGAGTGGAAGATGGCTCACCGCGTATCTCCGCTGGGCGAACCCCAAAAACCCATCGCTGGTCACGTTTGGATCCCACACGTTCACGAACCCCATCGAGCGGTTGGCGTACTTCTCCGCGTCTGCCTGCGGCTTGCCCAGCGCGAGCGCTGCTTGGCGGACCGCGAAGTCGCCTAGGGCGTACTGCAAGTATGGGGTTGAGTTCACTGTTCAATAACTTCGGTGAAGAAACAGAGGTGGAGGCAGAGGAGAAAGGGGGGAAGGGGAGGGGATAAGAAGGGCAGACACACCTCGAGCGTCCGCGACGCCTCGCGCGTCGGCAACCCTGTCGCACCAGACGGGTCCGTCCAGTTGGTCGGGATATACCCGAACGTCTTCCACGCCGTATTCTGCCTCCCCACTAATTTCACGCGTCACTACCACCTCACCCCGTCCTTACTATGTACGAGCTTACCGGTGTACCAATTTGGCGGCTATCATGCAACAAGTAGGGGGTCAGCTCGGCTGGAGGATATAGAATGGATGGAGGAGCGTCTTACAGTGTTCTCGGCGGTATCCACGAGCGCTTGGTACAAATCGTCCGTCGGGACACCCAGCTCCCGCGCCACCGCGCCATACTTGACCGCAAAGTCCCCGAGGACGGGCATCCCGTCGCTCCCGCCTTGTACATACCCCCTGCATGACACGCGTCCGTGAGATCTCGTTGAATGCGTGCATATAGGGGCACATACGCTTTGGTGTTCGCCCGGCACTCGGGTACATACCCTGTGTTAGTGGGTTTAGGAAGGAGGAATAGGAAGAGAAGGGGAGAGAAGAGAAGATGACTGACCGGTCGCTCGCCACCCGTCGATGTACGCATTGACGATGTCGGCCCATTGTCTGGGAGACGTGATGGAGAGGAGGGGGTGGACGGTGCGGAAGGTATCCCACGAGCTGCAGCAATTAGGTCAAGCCGTCCATTCGACTCCCTACATGGCATGGACAAGGGAACACTCACCAGAACAGCGCGTCGTAGAACGGATACGAAGAGTCCCAATACGGGTTCTCGCCCGTCAAGTTCGCCGGCACCAGCGCAGCGCGGTACAACTACATCCCCCCACCCGTCAGCAGAACCCTTCCCATTCAAAACCAAAGCGGATCTCACAGATGAGTACAGCAACTCCACCACATCCGCATCCTCCTTCCCCGTATCAATCACCACCCTCCGCAGCACATCCTCCCACCTGCCCTCTGACTCACCCTGCACAGTATCCCAAGCCCCACCCCACGCTGCGCCCACCTCCTCTTCCGCATTCGCGCACGCCTGAGCACTGCTGATGAACGATACACCGAACCGCGCGAGCACTACACTGTTGTTAAACGCCAGCAGGCCCCCCGCCTGGATCTTCGACGGCGAAGACGTGTACACGAAGGACAGGGACGTGCTACCGGGCGTGACGGTTATGTTCGTCGGGGCCGAGACTGAGATGGATTGGTACGTCCCAAATTGGACGGGGACTTGCGTGGAGTCAGGGGGAGCGAAATCGTAGCATGCATAGACGGTGTAATTGCTTGGGCCGTAGCTCTAGAAATTCAAACGTCCATTTACAATCAGGCATCCTGCATTTGGAGTGATGAAAGCGTACTTGCAAATACGTCCCGCCAAGCAAAACCCTCCCGTCCGGCGAGATCTGGATACTCCCGCCCTCGAAGGAGCGCTGGAGGTCGTTCGTGAGGTCGACGACAACGAAGTTCGTCGTCTCCTCCGGGAACGTGAATCTTATCAGCCCCGCGCGTCTCGTCGAGGTCGCTTCGAGCTTAATGTTGTTCGTGAAGGTGGTAGTAAAATACCCAGGACGGGCAGCTATTCCAAACATCAGGACCTAAAGAAAGCGGGGATAGGTCAGGATGAGAGGCGAACTTACCGTCTGCTCCTGCTGCGCGCAAGGCTTTCCGGGCTTCGATGCCAACTGGGCAGGATTCAAACCCGCACCCCGTGAGCGGGAAGAGGGGGAAGTTGCCGTAGCCCCCAGCGGTATTCCCGCCCGTGCCTTCATCATGCGTCAGCGATATCCCTACCAAAGGTATAGCAACCGGTCAATAGTGCATCAAAGGGATGAACTCGGCGCCCTACCGGTGACAGACGCGTTCCCGGAGACATAGCCAGCCTGGCGGGGTGTCAGATCGACGTCAATACCTACCTGCCAACCCCAAATCTCTGATTGAGCGCTGCCTCCACCGTAGGTATGTTTCTTCGACACGCACCTTTGCTATCGCATGCGGCACAGCAGCGCCAGGGAAAGCATTCCCCCCACTCCCGCCATTCGCTCCCGACGCCGTCCCGATGAATAAGTTCACCAGCGACGTGAGGCTGCTCTGGGGCGACACGGCACCCACAAGACCCAGATGCAATATCGACCTTGCTACCTTCATTTCGCGCAAGTACAAGTGTAGCAAGCAAGACCGTACAATCACTATACACGGTCATGCACGCTAGATACTTATACTTCCTTGAAGCGTCCGGTGCGGGGACGCTTCTCCCTTCGCAGAGACATATAATGAGCCCGCGGTGCGCGTGAGCCCATCGCCGACGAGGGTATGCACGGTGCAGCACAAGGCAAACCGTACGGAGACCGCTCAGATGTCGACTTCCCGCATGCACGTGCTGCCGCAATGTCGAGTTCGCCGTGTTGTGCCCAGACTCATATGCATAGAAAGACAAACGCTGATACGCATCGACGCAACCACCTTGCAACTACCACTGCGGGAGTTGCAGTCTTTAGGGCCGGGCAAAAGGTTGTAAGACCGGGAATTCCCAGCCAATCAGAACCCGCAGAATTGCCTTTCCTACGACGTTTTGCGCCGCCCCTAAAGAGTGGAACTCCCGAGTGTAAGTCACTTCAAGTCCTACTACATGTAAGTACTGATAGAGAGGAGAACATCCAGCCACATTGCCTTTCGCAGCAGAAATCGTCGTGGAATAGAAAGAGCTTGGAAGGAGCAATGATACGGTGGACGTTACCCGGGTTCAGACGTCCGTTCTCTGAAGACTCTCCATCATTTCTCTGGCAGAGATGAAGACTAAGATCTACATAGACGAAGTACAGGTCATCTGAAGTTCAGACCTGAGATGACACGGAATCCCGTTCCCTGCTGTAGACACTGTCATTTGGCAAGGAAATTGCGTTTTGGCATGCGACCCGCTTCGAGTGTTGAAACGTTGACATCGCGCTACCACCCTCTGCTCCCACTTCCACCACTCGTCCGAACGGAAATCGAACGGTACGGAGTGTAGGAGGAAAGCACGGAACGAACTTTCCGATACATGTCTTGAACGACCCTCGGAAATCGACCGGAAGGCTCCCACTCGCTCATAAGCCCCTCACATCCTCCCTACCCCTCACCCACCATGGCCCAGGACAACACAAACTCGAAAGCCAAGGGCCCGGACCCGATCCTGCTCACGCTCTTCGCGAACCGCTTCATGAGCGTCGCGGAGGCGATGGGCCGCTCGCTCCAGCAGACCGCGATCAGCACGAACATCAAGGAGAGGCTCGACTTTTCGTGCGCGCTGTTCGCGCCCGACGGGGACCTCGTCGCGAACGCGCCGTTCATCCCGATCCACCTGGGGTCGATGAGCTTGTGAGTTTGCGTTATCCTTTATCTCTCTGTGTGTGTATGTGGAATGGGTTGATTGATGTGGGTGTGGGTGTGTAGTGCGGTGAAATACCAGATGCAGCTGTATGGGAAGGAGCTGAAGGAGGGCGACGTGCTGATGACGAACTCTCCCCACGCCGGCGGCTCGTAAGTCCCTAAACCCCTTCCCGCCCTCCCCCCTTACCCTCCCCACAAATAGACACCTCCCCGACATCACGATCATCACCCCCGTCTTCCACCCAACCTCGCGCGACATCATCTTCTTCACTGCCTCGCGCGGGCACCACGCGGACATTGGCGGGATCCTGCCGGGGTCGATGCCGCCGACGTCCGTCAGCCTGTTCGAGGAGGGCGCGGAGATTGTTAGCCTAAAGATTGTGCGGGACGGGGTGTTTGATCGCGAGGGGCTGATGGAGTACATGTGTGAGCGCCCCGCGCGGTACCCCGGGAGCTCGGGGTGTAGGAATATCGGGGATGTGGAGAGCGATTTGAAGGCGGTGAGCGGTGTTTGTTTGCGCGGTGAGGGTTGGAACTGATTGTGTCGCGAAATAGCAAATATCGGCGAACCACAAGGGCGTGCAGCTCATCCGCGCGAGTAAGCACCGCGTCTCTCGCGCTGTTCTTGCACATAACTGACCTGCCATTAGTCGTGGACGAGTACGGGCTGGAGACCGTGCAGGAGTACATGTACCACATCCGCACGAACGCGGAAAACTCCGTGCGGCGGCTGCTCAAGGACGTTGTCAGGCGCGCGGGGTCGAACGTGCTCAGCGCGGTGGACTACCTCGACGACGGTTCGCCCGTGCGTTCCTCCCTCTTACTCACTATCTCCCCGCCATCCACTCATTATATACCATTGACTAACTGATGGGTCACTCTCAGATCAACCTGAAGGTGGAGATCGACGAGCAGACGGGCAGCGCGACGTTCGACTTTTCCGGGACGGGGTGCGAGGTGCGGGGGAACCTCAACGCGCCGATCTCCGTCGTGCACTCGGCGGTGATCTACTGCATGCGCGCGATGCTCGACTCGGACATCCCACTCAACGCCGGGTGTCTCGTCCCGCTCACCAGTGAGTGCCCCCCTTCAGTATACGTGTGAATGTGCTGATGGCTGTGTAGTCAAGATACCGGAGGGGAGCCTGCTCGCGCCGTCGCGCACCGCGGCGGTGTGTGCGGGGAATGTGCTCACGTCGCAGCGGATCGTGGACGTCGTGCTGCTGGCGTTCCACGCGTGCGCGGCGAGCCAGGGGTGTACCAAGTGCGTTTAATCCGTCTGTTGTTTATACGCGCGGTGTCTGACTAGTAGTGTGGAACAGCAACCTGACGTTCGGCGCAGGCGGGAAGGACAAGGAGGGGAAGCACGTCGCGGGGTGGGGGTACTACGAGGTACATCCGCCTTCCACCGCACAAGTCGTTACTTATTTCTCGCCTTTCAGACCATCGCGGGCGGCTCGGGCGCGGGCCCCGGGTGGCACGGCACGTCGGGCGTGCACACGCACATCACGAACACGCGCATCGGGGACGTCGAGATCCTCGAGCGGCGCTACCCGGTGCTGATCCACACGTTCGGGCTGCGCGAAGGCAGCGCGGGCGTCGGGCGCTGGCGCGGCGGCGAGGGCGTAGTGCGGGACATTGAGATGATGGAGCCGATGCAGGTGTCCATCTTGTCCGAGGTGCGTTGGGCCAAACTCCATCGAAGATACTTGGCTGAGTTGACGGGGGAACAGCGGAGGACGCGCCAGCCGTACGGCCTCGAGGGCGGCGGGAACGGCGGGTTCGGGCGGAATACGTGGGTGAAGCAGCCGCGCGCGGCGGACGGGGACATGCCCGAGGACGCAAGTGTGCCCCCCGCGCCGCGGAACATCAATATCGGTGGGAAGGCGACGGTGTACATGGGCAAGGGCGACCGGCTGGTGATAGAGACGCCCGGGGGCGGCGCGTGGGGGGCGGGGGAGGCGGAGAAGGAGAATGCGCATACGAGGGCGTGGGAGCCGCGGGGGAGCCTGGCGGAGAGGGCGGCGGCCCAAGCGGCGTTTGGGCCGTGAGCGGGGTGGTGGGCGTTGGTATCCCTATGCAGTATTTAGATGAAGTGTATCAGTAGTGATGCTTGGTTTGTAACTAGCTGTATCGGCATTTTTCTGTCTATGGGTCTGGTCCAGTCTGATGCGTCTTCTGCTGGGAGGGGCACAACCACCTGACCCTCCCAAAGAACAAGGCTTATGAGAGTGGATGATCGAGCAGGGAGTCCACTCTTATAAGACTCGAAACATGTTTCTCCTGACTCCAGCGGAAGCACCGGGAACACCAGCAGCCTTGAAGGATATGACAGTTGAGTCCCATAACCCATGTCTCCAATAACCCATAACCTCCAGAAGTCTTTCCCTCATCGCATTGATGCTCTGCTTGGGTCGGAGGGAAAGTGGATAAAGTACTAGGGTGCTCATTGATCATTGGCAATCCAGTCTGCTTTTCTGTGTATTTTACATGGCTTATTTCTCTGCATAGGAGTTGCATAAATGGGTCCCAACCTTCTCTATGTTTGACACCCAGTCTAAAAAAGGGTTTTGGCAAGGTCAGACCCCAGACCCCACCAGACCCTACACATGACATCAACTTGATATAAAAACCAAGGATCAACTTGGGCTCTACTTGACTAGGACATTCATCATTCATGAAATAGGTGGGAGAACACTTTCCTTGCATGCTCTGAAGTGGGACTTGGCAGAGACATAAAGAATGAGAGAACAATGTCAATCAAATGTCCCCTGATTTTTGTGATGTCCCACAGACCTGCCTTTGTTCCTTCAAAGGACATTCTCCATGTCCAGATCATGGTCCAACAAAGACCATTGTAGGAGTGTTCTCCCAACCGGGGCATGTTCATAGCATGCTCGCCGGCGGGACATCGGTCTCTGCCCGCAGTGATGGAAGCAGCAGCGCCACTGAGCTTGTAACCCTACGCTAGGGTTGACAAGCCATTGGGTGGCGTACACATTTCGAGACCTATGTCGACAAAGGGGGAGCAAGCTCCCCCTATTATTCGCGTTCCTGCTGCGAAACCGCGCGGCTTCGAGTTCATTCAGACACGAGCACCAACACACGAGCGCCAAGCACATCACAAAGCACAAAAGCACGAAACCAAGACACCAAAAAAGCTAGACACCAAAAAAACTCTTACCAACCCTACCGCGCCGCCCCCTCCCCACCCCGCGCCTCGAAGAACGCGCGCACATCCTCTTCCGCGACGACCCGCCCCTCCGCCGCGAACGGGCGCAGGTAGCTCATCAGGCCGTCCCTACAGCGCGTACATGAGCTCCGTGCCAGTCACAACTCGAACTATTTCCAAGGGTGTGGGGGAGGGAAGGAAAGGGAAGGGAAGAGCAGACAGGACCCACCGCATCTCGTTGAACGCGCGTATCCCGTCCAGAGCGCGCTCGCGCGGGAGGCGGCTCAGCGCGCGCATGCCGAGCTCTTCCAGGGAGAGGCCTGCGTACGCATATACAAGGGTGAGAGTTGGTTTGATGGTGAAGCGGGAGGGGGGAAGAGACAAGGAAGGAGTGCGGAAGGAGAAGAGCCTCACCGGAGTCGGGATCCTCAGGCGGCTCGTACGTCTCCTCTTCCTCGAGGAGGTACGGGCGCGCTTCGAGGCTCGGCAGACACTATCGCGGGTCGGTACCTGGTTAGTGAGAATGAGGAATGAGGAGTGCTTACGGAAGGACATCTGCACCACCGCCCTCGCCAGCCCTCGGTGAGGAACACGTCGCCTGCGCCGAGGTTCGCGTCGAGGGAGTCGAAGAGTGCTTGAGCGGTTGGGTGAGCAGGCGGAGCCAAGCACGCGTGGGACGGGGACGCGCGCAGCCGCTTGCTACTCCCTCCCTCGTCGCAGTCCCCCTCCCGCGGCCGTTTCTCCCCCGTCTGGGTCTCCCGTTCCTCACTCTCCTGCACCTCGACTTTGCCTTCACGCCCATCCGCGTCGTCTTCCCGCCCAATAGCCTTCCACGGCTGCGCATCCGCGTCCCTCACGACCATCATCGCCCCGCGCGTCCCCGCCCACCTGCGCAGCGTCGGTATCTCGCGCACGCACGCGCCGCACACGAGCGTGTCGTAGTCTTCCTCGGATAGCAGGGGCAGCGGGAGGCCATCCGACTCGGACTCGGACACGTCATCGTCGCCTTCGCCTTCCTGTACAGGTGATGGCTCCCGTGACGGCGGGCGCTCGCGCAGGTTGAGGCAGGACTCGTGGAACCAGTCCTGCGTGGCGTGTAGCAGTCGCTATCATCCACAAAACGAAACGCACCTCACAGGCAAGACACTGGATCATCGTCTCCCGCTCCCTCCGCACGTCGTACTTCCTCCCGCACCGACAAAACACACCGCGGAAGTTTTGTCCATATCTATTTCCCTCATTTATAGGCTCCGCGGCGGTGTGCAAAGTACATCGATGTGAGGCGGGGAAGGCGCGCGTGGGGCAGTCGCAGCGGAACGTGCGCTTGGGGAAGAGCTCGAGCTGCTCGTGATCCGCGTGGCACGCGATCGAGCACGCCGCGCAGACGCCCTTGGGCTTGCCGGGTTCGCAGGAGAGGCAGAGGTAGATGGCCTGCCGCACGGGCCCAAGCGGGTGCGTGCAGGCGGTGAAGGCATGCGGGAGGGCCTCGGCGGCGGCGGAGACGAGCGACGTCTGCGAGGCGAGCAGGTCCTGGCTGGTCAGTGTTTGGGCGCGGTCGGACATGGCGGTGGACGGGAGGACAGCGCGTTGTTTGGTGGTGTTTGTGGCTGATCACAACTGGTGAGTTGTATACACTTCGGGAGTTACACTCTTTTGGGCCTAGCAAAAGATTGTACGGTAGAGATATACAGTGCCTTGCATAAGAAACTGAACATCGCATTTCCGCCCGCGTTGTTTGTTCGCGCCAAATATACCCTTTTCGGGTAGGTCTGGAACACCTTTCGCTGGGCAAGGACTCGCAGACGCCCCGAGAGGGCTCAAAAGGCTTCAGAGAATGCATGGAATGTATATTCTAACACTACACTAAGGGCTGTAAATTATTATACTCTGCCCTCAGTTGTATGCCTAGCTACCCTCCCTCTCGATGGGTCTTTGCCGCACATTTGCCGATACCCGAAAAGGGTATATTTGGCGCAGACAAACAACGCGTGCGGAAATGCGATGCATATGTTCAGTTTCTTATGCAAGGCACTGTATGAAAGATTGGCTTTTGTAAATGATTTTGGGGCTCAAAAAAGATAATCTTTATTGAGAATTTCGAAGCTTGTAAAATATATTTTCAGCAGTATTATCTTTGTTGATACATTATAACTAAATCTTTTAGATTCCCTTCTGACACTGGAGGATTTGTAATCTTTAGGGCTGGGCAGAAGGTTGTATGAAAGGGAATTCCACACATTTGACGCCCCGTGGTAGGTAAGGCATCAATTCAGTCCAGGAATTGCCTATTGCGCTCAAATGATGGCAATGTGTGCTTCCGAGTCTGAGAAGCACAGTAAGTCATGTAAATGACATTGATGTGGGCACGGGATCACTAACAATAGGTAATTTCAGGAACTTATCAGTTTGCTTTTGCCCAACGTTGTCAATCAGCCATTTCGCCAACTCCCACTCCTTGTCATCCTCAAAAGGCCCATACAGGCTTTCCCCCCCCTCCAACTTCTCCCTCAAGATCCTTTCAAACTTTGTCTCACCTCTCCCGGGGTATGCAGCGCCAGCCAGACATTCTGCTGGGTACTCCTCCACTAGGTGGTGAGTCTGTGAAGTGGTGTTGCCACAATCTGGCACATCCTCTATCTTGACGCCTCAGGGGGCAGCGTTGGGGGCAGTGTGGAACATGTCCTGCTCTTCAGGCAGCTCCTTGTTGGGTACAAAAGGAGGATGTAGGTCGTTGTGTGGGGCATCGTCTTCAACGTCATTCTGCAGATCAAAAATGTTGACTGACTCCCGTGATAGGTGCTTGATCCAGGTGTCTTTGCAGGAAGCTGCAGTACACAGATGTTTGCGCAAACCACCAGCTGACGGAAGAGATTTGTTGCAAAAGCCACAGGTGTGTAGACGTGCTCTAGCCATTGTAACAACAACCAATTGACTTTGATGTTTTGGAATCCCAGTGTATTACAACCCACAGGCTGCCACCCTGGTTTGCACCAGCCTGGGCTGTGCCATGCCATGCCGTTGATAAGCCTCAGGATCATCTGACCCCCAAAAACGTGGACTCAGCTCATTGTACAAGCCCTCTGGAGCTTATTCGACACAGCGCTCACACACCTCTAGGCTTCTATGGGCTCTAAAAACTTGCTCTGTTTTAGCTCCGGACTTCCTAACATCCTTGAGGCATACACAGACCCATTCCGTGATTTATCTCCGTGGACAGGAGCTCCGGAGTGACTTAACCAATGCGACTTCTAGATGAATTAGCTCCGGGGCCCGCGAACGCTTCTATCGAGGGGCGTTGTCCTCATGCCCAACCTCCAACACTCACTCCCTCTCGTTTCCATCAAACTACCGAAGGTGCGGATGTATACGAGTCACCATGAGGCCAGCATCAGTCAGCAAGCGGCTGGAGGTAATTAGCACGTGACCGGCGTGTCGCACGGAGTGATGGGACTGCTTAGGGCAGGTGGCGGAGCGTCGAGGCGACCTATAGGGGCTGGGACGAGCAAGTGGGAGCGCAAGGGAGTCGTATGGTGTATGGTATAACGGAGGCAAGTGCTGAGCAATCCTGTGGGTAGCGGCGTTTATTTGTTATTTATCTCCGGACGATCGCAAAGCCATTCCTGTAGTATAAATTGTACAAAGTAGCGTACAGAAAAACAAGTTTTGCACTTCACCATCTCAGAGAATTAGCGTTACGATCTCAGCGACCCTCGAAGTTCGAAAGCGTCGAACTTAGCGAATTATAACCGATCCTAGCTTTGCCAATAGGCCTGACTCGTCGAGTGATTTATCTCCGCCGTCGGTTTAATTATCTCCGGTGTGTTCTACTTAGCGAAGTAAAATTAACCAAGTCTCTCTAGCAATTTCTACCCCCGCGAGCATGATCCTATGACAGGCATCGTTGCTTGCGACTTTGATTGCGACTTTTCGGAGATAAATACTCCAGAGCGTCAACTAGTGTTTGTTTCAGGTGTCAAATTGTTTGTTTTATTTTTCTAGGTCTTCCTACGGACTACCCTACGGCGTCTTACTCCTCCTTTCCCCCTCGAACTATTAAATACCCCTCAGTTGTCTTGGACTGCCTTCACCCATATCACAGGGTTTAGGTTTATTTCTTTTGGTCCTTGGTGATTGCTGTGTGTCAGTGCATATCACCGTGTGCGGACGTATACTGCACATGTAATCACTGTTGGGCGTCCATGGGAGGCGGCGCGCCCTTCACCTCATGTAGGCCTTGTTGATTTTCTCCAAGGCGCGTCACCCTCTTGTTGACCACCACCTCATTGGACCAGATGTGATTGCAGTGCTGATTTAACAAACAGGTTCGGTATAAAAGCACAAGGGTATATGAAGGGATTGCCAGTGCCCCCAGGTAGGCATTCACCCACCGAGTCTCCCTCAGTGAAGTGAATATCACTCAACAGCTCCTGTTCACATCTTTCACATTTCACACCTTCACTGAAACAACGTCTGCTCACTGCTCTACTCGTTCTACTCCCATCATCTGCAGGACTCCTGCCCTGCCCCAAGTGTCACACCTGCTCCTGCCCCCGCTCCTGGTGCTCCTCATCTGGTCAGCCGCAATACCGATGTGACCAGTAACGAGCCCATGGCTCATGTGGTGAGTGCTGTACCTCCCGGCTTGGAGGCTGGTGATCTTGCTGCAACAGGGAAGGCTGTGTCTCGCAAGAGCGGCAGACAAACAGTTGCGATGGAGTGCAAAGCAGAAGCCTGTACGTTGTACACCTTACTTCCACCAGTGATGGGCTTAACCCTGGTTAAACCGGGTTGCCCAGGGTTTGACCATTTTAACCTTAACCGTGGTCAAAGTTAAGGTGTGAATGTCACGTGCATCTTACAGGACACTACAAGAGCAACCAAAGAATTCTAAGCATTCAGATTATAGTACTTTATTAAGTCCATCTCCAATTTGTGCCCAACCTCGCGCAGAGGTCAGTCAAAGTCTGGAGAGCATGGTAGTTATCCGTCGCTGAGGTGTAGCGAGAGATATTTGGCAGTAGCTGCGAGCACCATCGCAGGAGACGGATATCTGTCACACTGTGTCACAACATTATCTCACACGATTGCTCAATGAGGTCATTCTACTGAAATTAGTAGGTTAAAGTCATGTGCAAATCACACATTAACTTTCTTAACCCCCCGTCAAACCGGGGTTAAACCAGTCAAGTGGTTAAACCCTAGGCAACAGTCAAGGGGTTAACCGTTAACCAGCGCATCACTGACTTCCACATCTCATTGTCTCACGCTGATATGTAGTGCATGCCAATAAGCAAAAAAGGGCCAATGCAACAAAGAAAGCTGTGCAAAAGGCTTTACGCGCCCGACAGGCGGTTGAAGAAGACAATGACTATGCAGAAGACACAGCTCCTGAGTCCAAAGAAGAGTGGACGATGAAATGCTAGCTGCCCTTAATACAGGGCCACAGGTACATCTGTGCATTGACCGTCTGTCCCTCACTAATTGCATCTTGTGCCATTTCAGTTTGGTGGTCGCAGATGGCCAGTCTGCCTCCAAAAAGAGCATAATGAAGCGCTCAAGGCATCGGTCTCACTGTTGACAACTCTTTCAACAATGGGCCCCTTGAATATGACGAGAATGAAGCAATACAATGACCCAGCAAGAAGTCATTGGTCTTTCATGCACCGGACAATCTCTGGTGCAACAGGCTGTCAGGGGTCTTACCACCGCCTCTGCCAGTGGTAAGCATTGTTCCTATTTGTGTATATATGCTGCTCAGACATCTCCGGCACGGCCTTTCACTGACTCTCCCCAGCTGGTGATATGCACTGACACACAACAATCACCAAGGACCAAAAGGAATAAACCTAAACCCCGTGATATGGGTGAAGGCGGTCCGAGACAACTGAAGGGTATTTAATAGTTCGAGGGGGAAAGGAGGAGTAAGACGCCGTAGGGTAGTCCGTAGGAAGACCTAGAAAAATAAAACAAAAACCTTGACACCTGAAACAAACACTAATGGACGCTCCGGAGTATTTATCTCCAGAAAGTCGCAAACAAAGTCGCAAACCACGGAACCGAGTGTAGGTTCAGGCCCACGGGAGTAGGAAACGCCAGAAAGACTTGTTTAATCTTATTTCGCTATGTGAGACTCACCGGAGCTAATTGAATCGATGGCGGAGATAATTCACTCGACGAGTCAGGCCTATTGGCAAAGCTAGGATCGGTTATAATTTGCTAAGTTCGACGCTTTCGAACTTTGAGGGTCGCTGAGATCGTAACGCTAATTCTCTGAGATGGTGAAGTGCAAAACTTGTTTTTCTGTACGCTACTTTGTACAATTTATACTACAGGAATGGCTTTGCGATCGTCCGGAGATAAATAACAAATAAACACCGCTACCCACAGGATTGCTCAGCACTTGCCACCGTTATACCATACACCATGCGACTCTCTTGCACTCCCACTTGCTCGTCCCAGCCCCTAGAGGTCGCCTCGACGCTCCGCCACCTGCCCTAAGCGGTCCCATCACTCCGCGCGATGTGCCGGTCACGTGCTAATTACCTCCGGCCACTTGCTGACTG